AATAAGTGAGACAGGGAAAGACAAACACCATATGATTTCACTTATATGTAAAATTCAATAAACAAAATAAATGAACAGAACAAAAACAAATCCATAGCTACAGGGAACAAATTGATGGTTGGAGATGAGAGGAAGGTGGAGGAGACGGGAGAAACAGGTGAAGGGGTTAAGCAGGACACATTGGTCCTGGCCGGGTGTCTCAGTGGTTAGAGCGTCAGCCTGTGGACTGAAGGGTCTCGGGTTCTATTCCGGGTCAAGGGTGAGTGCCTTGATTGGGGTGCAATTCTTGGCCCTGGTTGGGGCTCGTGCAGGAAGCAACCAGTCAGTGTGTCTCTGTCACATTGATGCTTCTTTCTCTCTCTCACCTTACCCCGACCCTCCCTCCCTTCCACTCTCTCTAAAAATCAATGGAAAAAATATCCTTGGGTGAGGATTAGCCAAAAAAAGAAATACACATTGGCAGTTATGAAATAGTCACAGGGATGTTAAGTAGGGAACATAGTCAGTAATATTATAAGTACTGTGTATGGTGTCAGGATGGTACTAAACTTATTGGGGTGATCATTTCATGTTATAATAATGTCTAACACCTGAAACTAATATAATATTGTGTAGCAACTGTAATTGAAAAATAAAAAGTTGACAAATAAAATAAAACATTCTAAGCATGCAAAAAAAAAGTTTTTATCTCAAACATAGTGACTGACACATAGCACTCTTAAAATTGAGTAAATGAAAACGTAGATGCGTGAATGAATGAGTCAGCCAATGACTGAATCATTTGGAGGGTGAGGGCAGAGAGCACATGTGATAGGCGATGAAAAACTCGACAATCAGTCTTTGTTGTTCCACCTCAGCAGTTTCTAAACACTGTGGCTGGGATTGGCTGTGTCAGAATCCCCAGGGAGCTATGCAGACGGCCGGACCTGCCTTGGAAGGTTCTGAGTCAGTAGGTCTGGGGTGGGGCTCAGGACTCCGGACTCGTTCAAAGATCCCCCAAGAGCATTTTGTAGCTTGGGTGGGGTCAGGTTGAGAACTGTCGTATGCCGTGTCACCTGGCCTTAATTGTGTCCTGCTCCACGCTGCGGACCGAAGGCGACGGCGGAGGCACTGGCCTGGTAGGAGACGGGGAGGGCAGAGCACGCCAGGCCTGCCAGCAGCTGGCTCTCTGTACTTCTTCCTGAAGCTATTGGCCCGGAAGATGTGACAAAGACCAAATCACTGTGGGTAAGCGAACCTTCTTCAGGTCGTGCAGCATTATAAGAACTGCTGTTGATCTCCTTACGTACTGCACTTTGTCATCCTTTCTTCTCGTTTTCATCCCCAGTGATTTTCCAAGTGGGGTGAATGACCTTCCCCTCATTCGGTTATCGGCTGTTGGCTTCAGGGATGGAATTTCCTAAAGCCCTCTGCTCATGAGCCTGTAAACACTTTCTGTGGGTGATGTTATCTCGTGGGAAACCAAGTTGTGACAGCAGGACAGAGGGGCGGTGGGAGGTGGGCCCCGGACAGCCTGGCTTTAGTTCAGCTTCTTATGCTGTTTCCTGGGGAAACTCATAGCTGTTCCCCTGGATTCATGCACCGGACTCCGCAGGTTTTTAGAGTGTTGTTCCGAATATATATCAGGGCAAAAACAATGACAGAGTTTTGTCTCTTTGGAGAACAATTTCTAACTCTTCGTTAAGTTGTCTTCTCAATGCAAGAAGCTCCTGAACACCTTAGCATCGTTAAAATAATTGTTCTATGTACTAACTTAGAATAGTATAGCTTTTGAGTGAGCAGGAATTGAGGCTGCACAAAGTTGGTAAGCTGTGGTTACAGCAGGGACTGAGACACTGGATTCAAGTCCGCCTCCCGCGCTCGCTGGCTGGTGATTAGGACAAATTACTGAAACTCTTCTTGCCTCAACACCCTCATCAATAGAATGGGGATAATTAAACCTCCCTCACAGAATGTTCTGCTCATGACTGAGAAAGTGAGCAGCCAGAGACTGTGCAGAATGCTTGGGACATAAGAAGCCTTCAAATGTCAGCAGTATTATTCAATTAGTGAACAGACTAAAAGTGCCATTTTAGAATAAAGACATATTATAGGGCTAGGTATTCATATGAAAAGGTTATCTACAGTGTATTATCAAATTATAAATGTAAAGTGGAATATATAGTATGAAGTTTTATAAAGAAATTTTAAGCTCTCTATATGTATATATATATTTATATGTATATGTGTATTGTGTATATGTGCATGTATTCAAACACAGAAATACATATGGAAAAAAATCTGTTAGCAAGTGATTATCAGTGAAGAGACAACTCAATTTTTTATTTACCTTATCCTGACATGTTTAGATTTTTGAAATCATGTATTACATACATTAACATAATTTGAAATCATGTATGATCATAGAAAATCCAGGCCGGTGTGGCTCAGGTGACTGAGCGCTGTCCCATGGACTGAGAGGACCCAGTTCGATTCCAGGTCAGGGCACCTGCCTGGGTTGCGGGTTTGATCCCCAGTAGGGGGCGAGCAGGAGGAAGCCTATGGATGTTTCTCTCCCACATCAATGTTTCTATCTCTCTCTCTAAACAATCAATGAAAAACTATTTAAAAAATAATAATACTGACATAAGAAAAAATATAATCAGCCAAAATGATAAGTTAAAGAGTTGCACCGCACACATCTTTTCTGACCAGATATAGTCATCAAGTAAGGAAATGCGGTCATTCTACAAGCAGCCCAAGCAGCTCAGAGTTCCAGCTGGAGTTTTCCCAGCAACCTGTCTGGATTTTTATGACCAGTGTGATGAGCGCTGACCTTGCTCCTGCCCTGACTCCTCTGAACCCTTCCTCTCTGAATTCCTGCCACCCCGAGAACTTATACCACATCACTGAAGAATTCTTAAATGTCCCCGCAGTGTGCTGTCTTCCTGAATTAGATGTGCTTGTCTTATCTCGGAAACCCCATTGTAAGCTCTTCTACAGCTTGGCTTGTGTCAAATTCCTCAGCATTTTCACAGTTGTTGACCTAGCGGAGGGTGTGTAGTATTTGCTCAATAAATACCCACGGGCCGAATGGCTGCAGAGCTGGTATCAGCCGGGACATGCCATGCTGGGATGCAGTGAGCCAGTGACAGCGCAACCTGGAGATTTCTGTGGCTTCATCCACAGAGGTTTATATCCTGCTCACTCATGAAAGGCCCTGTGATTGGCGGGGGCTCCTGTCTATTCAGTGACAGCGATCCAGGCTCCCTCCATCTTGAGAACCTCTTGTGGCTTCTGAGTTTGCTGTATCAGGACAAGGAAGGGATGGAGAAGACATACTGACTCTTAGTGTCCCAAACCACTTCCATTCAAATTTCCATTGGTCAGAAATCAGCCCCATGGCCCCACCCAGCCATAGGAAGGCCAGGAAATGTAGGGAAGCACACAGATACCCAGGAGCAGGAATTGTGTGTGCCACCCACTGGTTTATGTCTTCCTGCAGAATAACTATGCCAACTCGTTAGCACCCCATTGGTATCAGTGGGACCAACACTCACATGGATCATTAAACTCAGTTTATGTTAGTAACTGCATGTGTTAGAAACTACTAGGATTCAGGATTTATTCATTCAACATGCATTTCTCAGTACCTACGGTATGCCAAGTGCTATTCTAGGTCCTGGGAATACAGCAGGAAAAAAATAAAAATAAAAATTCCTTGCACTCACAGGACTGACTTTCTAGTAGAGGAAAATAAACAATGAACAAATAGTGTCTACAGCATGCATATTGGTGACAAGTATAATGAAGAAAAATAAAGCCCGGGGGTGGGGGTAGGGCATGCGCTAGTATTGAGAAGGGGGTTGGATTATAATTTTAAATTGACCAGGGAGAGCCTCACTGAGAAGATAACAGGGATGCAGACCCTGGGGTGAGAGAGCCAGTCATTTGGACATGAGAACAAAGAGCCTTCCTGGAAGGGGGACACACGCGAAGACCCAGGTCTGGGCAGGGAGCGCCTGACATATTCGCTGAGGGGCAAGGAAGCTGGTGTGGTTGCAGTGAGTTTGCAAGAGGGACTGGGGTAGGACAGACTGTAGAACCTGCCAGGTGACTTTAGGTCTGTGGCTTTCGCTCTGTGTGATCTAAAGCCATTGGGGGGTTCTGAGCAGAGGAGTGAGGTGCTCAGTCTGGCTGCTGTGTTGGGACAAGGGCAAAGCAGGGAGGCCAGTCGGAGGTTATTGCCAAAGTTCACGTGAGAGATGGTGACGGCTTGGACCATTCCCATCATCCCCGAAAGTTGACGGGAGAAATTTTAGAGGGGAAAAGTGGTGTACAAGAGAGTTTTGCTAATAAGATGTTAGCGTGGGCCCAACTGTGGTATTATTCATTATTACCACGAGTCTGATATTCTAGCTGTTAAATTACAAACACTTATTCGTGGATTCTACATACATTTTCTCAACACCAGCAGCACTAGGTGCTCTGCTAAGCACTGGAGACAGTGAGGAGACCTGACCTCTGCCTTTGGGAATCTTTCAGTGTGGCTGGATTACAGAGATCACAAAAAATGCACTGAAAACAACCACAGCTGTAACAGTATAATCATGATGGAACTATTAGCCCGAACTTACTGAATGCTTCCTGTGTGCTAGACAAGCCTATGGCTATTAATATGATCATGATATATGATTATTCTAATCATTATATGTTGATGCTCACTGTTATAATCAAACTAATTCACTACAGAGTCAGAGAACCAGTGACTAAACACCTAATGTAATAGCCCAAATGTGTTGTGTGTGTGCCCTACAAACCGATTGCCAAGGACTTTGCCACCCTAGGACCGATCAAAGACCCAGCCCAGAAAATGCATGTGCCATTTTTCCCAAATGTCTTCTTTGTTTCTGATATATACAATTATGTTACTAGTATCTAATAATACTGATTTGTCAGTCTATCTGAATCCTCTTTATTGCATGTTGTTGTTTTTTTTCTTTTGATAATCTGCCTTGAAGAAGGTTAAGCTTGAAATCACTGCTCAGCTTCCAAGATGTTGCTGCCCAAGTTGCATGTGCTCTTCTGCTTCTGCAGCTGCCTCATGCTGGCTCATCCTTTTGACTGCCAAGGCCTCAATCCTGATGTCCATGTCAAACCACCAGGTAAGGGGGACATTCACTCAAGGCTTCAGCAACTGACCTGTTGCCAGACTCAACGTGGCCTCAGAGAGGTTGTCCTCTAAGCAGTTTTATCACAAAGATGCTCATGGAGGCCCTCTGTTCTCCTGGGGCAGGAGAGAGGGCCTCCCTTTCTTCTCATTCCAAGCACCTCTCTTCTTCAGCTAGGATGACTGTAGGACAGAGCCAGACAAACGGAAGCTCAGCTGCAGTCCCCATGAGAACCTTCCCACTCCGACATAGTGACCCCGCTCCCCGGGAGCTCCCTCAGAAGCAACTCATAACCTGCTTCCACACAGGGGGAGAAGAGGCAGGTGTTATGCTCAACCAGTGTGGTCCTGATAATAGTGGTATGAGAAGATAGCAATTAAGGGTGCAGGGATCCAGAAGGAAACACTTCTTTCTACCTAACAACAGGGAGAAATAGAGAGAAGTAGGTGCTAAGCAGCCCAGATAATAGACTGTATCACTTGCTCTTTCTTACCTTGTGGTGGGAGGGAAGGAGAGGAGTGAAGGATGTAGACAAGCCCAGGAGGGGTGACCGGAATGGGACAGCCCTTTCTGGACAGATACTCCTACCATCACTAAGAAGGACCTTTACTGCAAAGAGATTGCTCCTGGAGCTGGCTGCATTCCTGCTGATCCCAGAGGGCTGTGATGCATTAACTTCTTCATTCAGCCTCTTCAGCTTAGCAGTGTGGGTGGCTTCTGAATGGTGTCATATGTGCACCTGAATAGATATGGTCCCTCTGGATCGAGTTATTCAAGATTGATGGGTGACTCATCGCTGTAACATTTACAAAGGGCATTTCATAACCCTGCACCTTATAGACACATTTCACCCGACTTCACAGTTGGGTCAATGACTGCATCAGTAGGAGAGGGATTCCATCTTATATCTACATTTTCATATGAAATGGCACAATATCTTCCAGGTCCATTCATTCAACAACACATCCATGATACACTGGACACTAAGCCAAAGAGTTTGTAGTCAAGCGCAAGGAGCTTACAGCCTAATTAAATATTTTCCCATCACCTTTTCCATGGATTGAAAACAAGTAACATCTTACATGATGAGCAAACTATCAGTCATGCACTTTTTATTGGCGCAGGGTGGGAATTTCAAGACACGTGTTACGTCCCGATGTTGGAGAACCATGGAAAGCTGGCGTTGGACGGGCAGAAGCTCGAGACATTGCTCTCTTCACCTCTGTAGTCCCAGCACTGAGCCCAATGCCCCACCCATTCTGAATGCTCAAAAATTAATGCACAAATATTTAAAAAATGATTACCAATAGAGTATTACATAAAAAAGATTAAAATAAAAGGTGATTATTTATATTCTTTGTGCTAAACAAATACATAAAAAATACAGTTATGGAGGTAAAACGTTTGTAAGTATGGGCTAGAGATATCCTGGTTACTAATGGAGGACATGAGGCCATATAAAAGAACACAATGTCCCTCACGTGTTCATTGTCCCTCTCCAAACTGAGGAACGAATACCAGGAGGACCTGACAAATGAATTCCACCAGAAATATGTAACAAGATTAATGACATACCAAGGGTTCCAATGCTTTTATGAAAATAAAGTTGAAGAAAAATAGAAAGTGATAAAAATTCTGAACCACAAAATGTCATTTAGAGAGTGGCCGTCAATCTGATGATTGTCTTCTCTGCCTGTTTCTTCACGCTGAGTTCTGAGAGATGGTTAGAGAACAGGAAGTCCAGGCCAGGACTGGACCAGCTGCAGGCTGGTGAGCCTCTCTGCAGCTCCCCTCACCACCCCCCCAGCAATGGCTAGCCACAGCGCCCTGTAGACCTACACCCCAACCTGGGCCAGCTCAGTTTCCTAAGCCCTTCTCAGGGGTCAGCTGTCCTAGAACAGGCAGGCCTAGAACGTCACCTTGACCTGTGGCTCCTGAATGCCGAGCGAGGGTGTTTTCAGGCAGAGCAGGTTTCAGAGAACCAAAGCACTCCTAGGTTACTGGAAAAGGTTCCCAGGGCACACGTGGAATTAAGATCTCACAAGGGAACCTTCTGCAACCCGGACCGCCCCCCCCAAGGCTCTAGAATTGAACTCTCAATTTCAAAGGTAGTTCCTCCAAGGTAGTTAATGGTGGGCTCCTCGTGGCTCCTCACCGTGTGAGCCGGAGCTCTTCCCCTCGACCCATGGCAGTCCCGCCATGGCTGCCTGTGGGCGGGGGCACGGCCGGCCACAAGGCACATGTGGCCCACCCTACTGCTCTCTGGACTTGACGGCTCCCTGTCACACCATACAGCATGGCTTAGAAGACAGTCCTAAATGGGAGAGAAAGAGCCTTTTGTAATTCTAAATCGACCCTAAGATGGTAGCCTTCCAGGTACAGTTATGTGTTCCTTAAAAATCTCTTAGGAAATGCCTTGCTTTGTAATCTGCCCGAGGGGAAAATGGCATGGTTGAGCTTAGATCAGCAGAACTCCTCTAAGGGATTGACTTTGGGTAACCAGGGAGGGGACAGATGATATCAGTTGTCTGCCTATTTTGTGACGTGTCCTGTGCTACACACTTGACTTCTGCATCACAGCGTCCTTACAACTGTTCTGTAGGCTAATCGAGTGCTTTTATCTCCAGGATGAGAGAGGGGGGAAATTGCCTAGTCCAGAACATCATAGCTTGTACGAGGTACAGTGGAATCCAAGATAGGATCACCTGGCTCCTGGGGGCCATTCATCTCTCTCCCTGTCTTCCTTGGGACTACCTGCTACCGTGTGACTGTGAATTGCTGATCCAAGGAGGCCTGGTACCTTAGCCCAGTGCTTCTTCAACTTTGATAGGTATACTTTTTCTGGTTCCATAGAAATAGGGTGAGGCCTGTGATCCTGCATTTCCAAGCTCCCAGGCAACGCCAATGATGCTGGTCCACGGGCCAACTTTGGGGAGCAAGGCCTTATGTATTAAAGGCTCATCTCCAGCAAGTGCTTTACACATCAGCACCAGTGTGGGGGATATACATGGGCTTCTTCTCATGACTCCAAACCTTTCTGGGTGATTCTATATGATACCAAGGCAGGTGCCCCTCCTAACATAGTTCTAGGTCTTAGCGGCAGAGGCAGACTATGAGGGGAAGCATGAAAGGTGTCTGTCCAGCAGAGTAATCAACTCGCAGTCCAACAGAAGGAACGGAGTGGGCAAGCTGAATCTAGAAAAGTAAAAGTCTGGTTATACTGATATTTGGTCTCACCATCTTGAAATTGAATATGGACTCGATTGGGCTTTAGAAAGGAGAACGGAGGAAATGAAACTGCAAGCGTGTTGAAGGGTTTTGACTCCAGAGATAAAGTTGAAGAGTGGGTGGGTAAGAGAATGAATACCACAAAGCATTTGATAGAAACCACAGACCAGTGTCAGTGAAAAGCTTACTTCAGCTCATTTCCACAAATACTTATTCAGCGCTGACTGTGTAGATCTGAGGGTACAGAAACATGGATACAGCTCTTAAGAAATGGGAGACGGAGTGTGAAAAAGCACAATTTTCATATAACGTGATAGGAAGAATGATCAAAATATATGTGGGGAATTGGTTCAGTAAAGTGATTGTCTTGGGGATCAGGGAAGGCTTCCGTGAAGATCTGACCTCTGATCAGATGTTAACGGTTGAATGGAATTTTGCTACTAGGATTGTAAACACAGGGAGCAACATTTCCAAAGGGGCAGAGGCAGTAGACAGCCCAGTGTGTAGTTCAGGGGTCCTGGAGCACATGGAAGGGGGAGCAAAAGGGGAAAGGAGAAGAGTATGAGGCAGAACTCCGGATCATTGAGGGTCTTTCTTACAGTGCCCAGGAATTGGGGGTTTAACCTGTGTGCCTATGAACACGTTTTAACCCCAGAACACTGGGAGGACAGGCCGTATTTGTACCTCAAGTAGCAATGGAAGTAGTTGAGGAAGGTATGTGTAGATTTAAATACCACCTACAAACTGCCTTCCAAAGAGATTTCAGCACCTTCCCCCTTCAAGGAGAACCATGCGGTGACAGGAAGACACTGAGGGATTTTACAGAGAATTGCTTGGTAAGCTTTGTGGTTTAAATCACTCCAGGAGGTGAGTGGACTATGCATGTAAAAAGGCCAAGTTCCAAGGTGACTAGAACATTTAGGAGAGATGGCAACTGTCTGGTCAAGAGACAGTGAAGGTGTGAATGAGACAGTTGAGCCAGAGGGTCAGGGGTACATTGGAGAGAGACCTTCAAGCTAAAAACAAAGGTTAGACATTGAGACTTGGTTGGATATAGGGAGCTGGCGAGAAAGAAGTAGGAGAGTAAGTTGATCCCCAGGTTTCTGGTTGGAGGATGAGGAGGCAGGAATTAAGAGATGGCCATTGAGTTTCATTTTGGACCATTGGCTTGGGTGTTGCTCTGGGAAGGACATCAGGTGGGGATAGGCCAAAGGGAGTTATAAGCACAAATCAGAAATGTGATAAAGCTCATGTTTAGGGAAAATGGACTTGGGAAGTAGTCTTTAATATGCTGTGGATTGGAGCAGAAGGTAAGGACAAGGCTCCAGTCTTAGGATGTGATAGTCCTGAATGTCTTGGAGAAGGGCTGTGTCTATTCACCTCTGTCCCCTTGCACAGGTCTCTGCATACAGCAGGCCCTCAATCATTACTTGTGTATTTTGCCAGTTAGTAAAGAAACGAAGGAGGCTAGACACTTTGGGCAAGAACTTGATTCCCTTGGAATTTCTTTGCATAATAAAGTCTGGGTTGTAATGGATGGCAAATGAGATAACATTCACCTGTTTTTCAGCACGGGTGAATAAAACACGCGCTCTGATGGCTGCTTTGGCCTTTGGCCAAACTAAAATCCCCAAAGGAAATGGACCGTATCCTGTCGGCTGTACTGACCTGATGTCTAAATATACTAATAAGGTGATGCTTTAATCCCACTTCTCCTTGTACTGAAATGTTCACTGTTGCTATGGCTTCCCTAGAGGTTATGAAACTTCACCTTGCCCTCACCTGGGAATGATTCCTTTGGTCATGTGTACTGTTTCACTGGAAGCCTTCTGCTAGTTAAGTCATTCCCGAATTCATTGCTGCCATCTGATTAGCCTAACTGTAAATTCTGTTTTTCCCTTCCGTGATGGCTGAGACCAGGCTCACTTCCTTTTTACTCAGAAAGCGTGTTGTTGTTGTCTATTTCTCTTCTATTTCTGTGGTATTGATCACCGCAGCAGCTTAAAATGTTCTCTGGACCTCTGCACGCGGAGCAGGGGTATTTGGATCCCCACTAAGTAGCTGCTGGAATCTGAGAATCGACTTGACTCAAAGGGCATCTGTTTCTTCCCTCTGCAGAGCACCTTCTTACGTCTGTATTATCCATCCCAAGATGATCGTGCTGACACCGTTTGGATCCCTAACAAAGAATATTTTTTTGGTCTTAGCAAATTTCTTGGAACACACTGGCTTATGGGCAACATTTTGAGCTTTCTCTTTGGTAAGATTTCTGCTGATCCTGCTTTGCATGCTGTAGAATATAAGAAAGTCTTGAAAACGGCCACAGTTTCAGGCAGTTAAGGACCAAAGTAGATTTTCACCAGTCGAAACTTCTACTAAGATGACAAAGGAAATATATTTCCTAAAAGACCAAAGGACAGGTAACTATCAGTGAGTCAAGGGTTCTCAAAATAATGGGTTGGGTGGAGGGAAGGAAGGTATCAGAACTTCAGACTGGCTCTTACATCTCTCCGTGGCTGGTCTTTAGCTTTTCTTAGTGACTGTGGGGGAGCAGCAATGTGGCAAGAGCCACAGCTGGGCTGATATGACTATTATCCCCTGTGCTCTGTGCTAACGTGCTTTCTAAAGTTGGGCAAAAAGAGAAAGGGAGTAGAAGCACCATAATTCTCCAAATCCAAAACATAGGAGTGAAAGTGAATTTCCTACTTATCATACACGAGGAGGCTCTGCTCCCATTCCCATCACGCACCCCCAAGGGGCCAGCCTCTCCCTAAGACAATCTGGTGTGCCTTCATCCCTTGCCTGGTCTCCATTTCACGGATATAGACTTTTCCTCCCTTATCTGTTTGACCAGACACTACTGTTGGTTTGGTGTTAACTGCATCTTCAGATCCCCCCCCCCCCTCAAAACTACCTACAGCTTTTGGTGTTTATTTTAAACATCTCCTTGGAGTTTTCTTAAAAACTATGCATCTTTATGGTGCTTGAATAACTTATCACTTCCATAGCAACCATCCCATTCGATCTTCATGATAACATCTCCATTTTATACTGAGAAAATGAAACGCGAATAATGAATGAAAATGATGACAGTAACAGTTGAGAAGTGAAGACTATGTTTTCCATTGTTGTGCCCCTTACAGTGTGACTGCACAGTGCTTTACATATGTTACCGACTTAAATGTGATTCTCAGAGACACCTGATGAGACAGATGTCATTTCCTTCCTTTTACAGAAAATGAACTTGAAGCTTAGACCGTTCTCTTAATTTGCCCAAGGTCAATAGCTAGCGAGTGGCAAAGCTGTGTCCAAAGCCACATCTGAGTATGAAGTTAATGGTCTCTCCACCTTTCTCTTGAGTATGACCCGGTAGGAATGAGAGGAGTCTGCTATTAGAAAGTTCTGGATTTCAGTGTGATGTCCCTGAGTTTCAGTTTGTTTTCAGAACATTCCCTTTCAAGTTTGACCAAAACCTTAGATTGGTACTAAGGAACAGCCTTCCTGAACACGCCTGTATGTAGGACCATGTCTCACCCTAAGCTCAGAGCTCCAAGGAGAACTGGTAATTAATAATCCTGTGGTCTTAGAAAAAAAACACATGGCTCAGGTCCTTGGTTGGTGGGTATCCAGTAGGAGAATTTGTAATGCATTTACTATTGATGCATAAAAATCTAAATTCCATCGGTCAGGATTTTATACTAAGGAAATGTAAATCAAATTAACCAGCAACATTCAAGTTAAATCCCTATTTATAACCTTCCATTGCTGTCTAGGTTCAATGACAACCCCTGCAAGCTGGGATTCCCCTCTGAGGACTGGTGAAAAATATCCACTGATTGTTTTTTCTCATGGTCTTGGAGCATTCAGGTAAAGTCTGGGAGGTGGAACAATCTGTTAAGGGATCAACAACAGAATGTATTTTTTCCCCAATAACGGAATGGCAGATTAAAAAAAAAAAGTTTTATTATTTAAAAAATTTTTTTTTCTTCTTTTTATTCTTTATTGACTTTAGAGAGAGAGGAAGGGAGAGGGAGAGAGAGATAGAAACATCGATGAGAGAGAACATTGACTGGCTGCCTCCTGCATACCCCCGCTGGGGATTGGGCCCACAACCTGGGCATGTGCCCTAAGAATTGAACTGGCGACCTCTTGGTGCATGGGTCGATGCTCAAACACTGAGCCACACGGCCGGGCAGGAATAGCAGATTTTAAAGTGTCCTGCCAGCCCCTGTCCTGGAGGAGTGCGGGCCCTCAGGAGTTGGCTGTGACCTGTTGATCCGTCTTAGCCCTGTATCTTCCTCCTTCCAGCTCCTGCAGACCTTTGGCTGTTGTCCTTCTGTATCATATTTACACTTTCAAAACCACCCATTGTGTTAGTTCAGGGCCTCTGCGAAATAGACACCAAATTGGATCAGCTGTGAAAGACGTTTAGTGAGAGAATTGCCTGTGAAGGGCAGAGAGGGAGGGTCAGGGGAAGACGGGGGGGCCTTCAGACCGTAACGCAGGGTGGACACCTGGGAAGGAGATGACAAACAGACAATGATTGGTTATGAAGAGTCTCAGACTGCAGAATAGCTCTAAGAAAGATTTGGCCAGGCCAATGGAGGGGGTGCTGGACCCAAAGTTGTTCATCAAAAGATCCAGAGGGGTCGGAGCTGGGTGGGGTCTTCAGTCAACTATAGACTCTATAGCATGATATCAGAGTGACATATTTTCATGATCACCACACTTTCCACGTTCTTCTTACATCTCGTCTGCCTCCCCTTCCTCCACGTCAGAGGATTATACAACTTTCAGAAAATAAAAGGTGGTTTTTAGCTAGAAAATATCGGGTAGCATTTGCACTAAGAAATTATTTCCCGTTCTATCATTGGGGTCTAGTTGGTTATTTGATTTCCGCCAAGCCAGTGGCTGGCAAGTTAGAATCTAGGGCCAAATCCAGCCCGCAGCCTCTTTCTGTAAATAAAGTAATATTGGAACCTGGTCACGCTCATTCATTTTGCACATTGTCCGTGGCCACTTTTGTGTGATGGCAGCGGAGTTGAGTGGTTGTGACCATGATGTATGGTCCACAGAACAGGACACATGTACTCTCTGGCCTTTTGCAGAAAAGATTTGCTGATCCCCGTACTAGATTGTTATCCCGTGCTGAGTAAGTCCTGCCTCTGCGGGGGCAGATGACATCATTCCTCCCACCTCCCTTTCATTCCTCATGGACATTTTCTACTGCGTGCATGCTACGAGGAGAGTGTGCGGAATGAGGACCCGGAAGCAGTTACAAAGGCAGGGGCTTTGCATGTGACTGTAAACATCTCACCCTGTCCAATCACTTAAACAACAGCTGACATGTTCAATAATGACCCTGTTTTAGACATGATTACAAGCACTGAAAATGCATGAACTTAATCCTTACAACAATCCCCCGGGTGCCATACTGTTATAACAATCACCTTTCCACAGATACAAGGAAACCAAGCCCAGCCGGTGTGGCTCAGTGGTTGAGCGTCGACCCATGAATCAATAGGTCACCGGTTGGATTCCCGGTCAGGGCACATTCCCAGGTTGTGGGCCAAATCCCCAGTGGGGGGCATGCAGGAGGTCGCCAATTGATGTTCTCTCTCATCGATGTTTCTATCTCTCTCTCCCTCTCTCTTCCTCTCTTTCTAAAATCAATAAAGAAAAAAAAAAAAAGACTCAGAACTCTCAAAGGCAATGTTTATAGTCCTCACACCAGGGTTTCTCAACCTTGGCACTACGGATGTTTTAGACAGGGTGATTTCTCGTTATGGAGGGTAGACAGTCCTCTGCATTGTAGGATGTTTAGCACCCTCTCCCAACTCATGATAACGAAATGACAACAGATATTGTCGAAATTGTCCCCCTTGGTGACCGTGACTCTCTGCTTTACTCCCGGGCACTACTACAGAGTGCAATGGCCTCCATGTGCCCGGGTTAGTTAGCAAACCCCACCTCGTGATCATGACTGGTCGTTGAATGCTTCCCTCTTTTTGTTTTGAAGGACAATTTATTCTGCAATTGGCAATGACCTGGCATCTTATGGGTTTATAGTTGCTACTGTGGAACACAGGTATGTCGCCTGGTGTGGAGCGGGGCTCTAACTTTCCTAAAGGTTTATAGGGAATGTTGGATGGCCAACTATGATTACATAATAAGAAAAACAAAAGGAGACTGAGTTTTGCCAAGAATTACACAAGCAGCTAACACGTCTAGAGGGCTTGTTGTTGCCGCAGCCACACTCCGTCATTTAATCTTCGTAACAACCCTGTGAGGGTTACTGCCATCACTGGTTTGAGCAGGAGGGAAATGAAGCCACAAAGGGTAACCTGCTGAATGCCACACCGCTAGTGAGTGACATGGGCTGGATTTGATTCCGGGAGGGAGTTTTCAACGTGGCCTCCAGGAATTGTGAAGATAGACTGGGCCGTTTTCCCACAACATGTCTTTTTTTAGAAGTCCCTCAAGGGCCTCTTTGATTTAAGAAAGAAAAAAAAAGTAGCGTGGAGGGAGAAAGGGAAGTCAGGAAGGTCAGGGTGCAGCTGAGTCAGGAGTGGGTATGAGGAACATGGCTGAGAGGGGGAAGTGGAAGTAATTCTGTTTGCCTTGTAGAGATAGATCTGCCTCTGCGACCTACTATTTCGATGACCAGTCTGCGGCAGAAGCAGGGAACAAGACTTGGCTGTATCTCAGGACCCTGCAGCCAGGGGAGAAGGAGTCGGAGAAGACCATACGGAACACACAGGTACCCCTCGGTCAGCAGGGGTGGCTGCGGACTGAACCGCACAGGCAACAGGGTGGCATTTGCCAATTCAGTTTTACACACGGCAAGCGGTGCTTCCTGCCCTCCTACTTCCCATCCCCCAAAGATCTGGGGGAAGACCCTAATGTACAGAATTCTTTTGTCTTGGAACTTCTCATTTTAACATCTCCAGGAAACTTCATCGTCCTGTGAGCAAGACTGTTCTTCCGAGAGTGGGTATAGAATAGTGTTAAGAGTTCAGGCCTTGCCCAGCCGGTGTGGCTCAGTGGTTGAGCGTCAACCCATGAACCAATAGGTCACTGGTTGGATTCCCGGTCAGGGCACATGCCCACTGGGCTCGATCCCCAGTGGGGGGCATGCAGGAGGCGGCCAATCGATGTTCTCTCTCATCAATGTTTCTGTCTCTCTCTCCCTTCCTCTCTCTTTAATATCAATAAAGAAAAAAATTTAAAAAAAGAAAAGAGTGTCGGACTTAGGATCTTACCGCCTATGCTTGAATCCTGGTGCTGTCACTTAGCACCGGGGTGATCTTGGACAAGTTAACGTAATGGCTCTGTTGTGCTCCCATGTTTTCTCTGTTCCCAAAATAGTAAGAACAGAATCTTTCCCAGGGAGCTGTGGGGAAGATGAAATGAAGTCAAGCACACTGGTTTCTGCCCGGGCAGCTTCCTGTGGGTGCTTTATTTGTGACTGTATTTAACCCACCCAAGTTCACTGAGGTAGGCGGCAGTACACACTGAATGGAAGCTCCACACGTTAAGTGAGTCATCTGAGGTCACACTGTGGGTGAGCGACAGAGCCGACACGTGGATCTCGGGAGGTCGGTGGCTGCGTCATCATGCTTGGTTGTTTTCTAGCAGCTGGCTGCCTAGACACGCCCAGTTTCTAAGCAACTGGCCATGGGTCGCACATGCAAGCTCTACACAAACTTTAAAGTAAGTATTACCGCTTTTCACCTTGTCATTCCCTTCTTCTGATCATCACGGCAGGTGCGGCAAAGGGCCAAGGAGTGTTCCCAAGCTCTCGATGTGATTCTCTCTGGAAGACCGGTGAAGAACGTCTTAGATTTAAAGTTTGATATGCAACAGCTGAAGGTGAGTTTGAAAAAAAAAAAGCCATCTCCAGCCCGGCTGGTGTGGCTCAGTGGTTGAGCATTGACCCATGCACCAAGAGGTTGCCGGTTCGATTCCCGGTCAGAGCACATGCCCAGGTTGTGGGCCTGATCCCCAGTGCGGGGCATGCAGGAGGCGGCCAATCGATGTTCTCTCTCATTGATCTTTCCATCTCTCCCTTTCTCTCTCTTTAAAATCAATAAAGAAAATTTATTTAAAAAAATAAAAAAGCTGTCTCTCTTGTCCTACATGTACTTCTTAGTTCTTTATTGTTCTCTATGGTCTGCTTTTCTGTCGCAATACAAAGTATAGGAATAGACACAACTAAAAGTACTTGAGTGTAAGCACACGATGTCTGTTGTCCAGAGTGAAGCGTCTGTTCCTCAGCCAGCTACTCTCTCTCCTGTCTCCATGTCTTCATACACGTTGTCCCCTTGGCCTGGCTCACTCCCCCACCCTGACTAAGTGCTCTTAATCTTCAACTCAAGGCAGCTATACCTCCTCCACGAGAAGCTTTCTTGGACCCACTGCCCACCCTGGACTGGGTTAGCTGTCTATCATATGGACTCCTTGGTCCCACTCCATTGTATTTGCTTCATGTCCCTGTATCTCTTTCTTCCCCAATCGACTGTGAGCTCACGGAAAATGAACTACAATGCCCGGTACAGAGCAGGTGCTCAATAAATACGCATGGAATGAACAAACTAACACATGAACTGGGGGGAGGGAGAAGTTAGCATTGATGACATTTAAAGCGTGGGAACTGGGAAGACCATTAAGTTCACTTCCGAACTTTTACGAATGCTTAACATATATATGTGTGTAGGTATTTGTATATACACATATATGTGTGTGTACTGTATATGTATATATTTGTATATGTGTGTGCATTTCTTTGATAAGAAATCAAAGTTTGTAATCATGCCCATAAATTGAATACTAACGTATGATTCACAAAATCTTTGACTCTAGTCTTCTAACCACCTGAGAGATAGCTATGAACTCACACCATACTTTTTCACATAGGACTCCATCGACAGAAACAGAATAGCAGTGATGGGACATTCTTTTGGGGGAGCCACAGTTATTCAGGCTCTTCACGATGACCGGAGATTCAGGTGAGAGGATGAGGCGAAGGGATGGAACAGTCATTTATTGGAAATGAGGGCGTGATGACGTGGGTGACATACAACTTCCTCAGATTCTTAGTGAGAAAGGCAGCCTTCGAGGCTCAGTCTATTCGTTTGCCTCCATTAAGTACTCTATTGAGTTTCCTGGGCAGAAGCCATCGAATTTCACTGCTGTTAACTGCCCCCCCCCTTATATATTTTCCCTCATCATTCTTATTATTTGTTTATCCATTTGAGGGCTTAACATTTTCACTTGCAAATGGGCCTTTATATACACATTTCATCTGTGACATAAAGATTGTGATACTAATGTTAACATCTTATAGTCTAGACTCCCCCAGTAGGCACGGTATATTTAATTACTTTTTTCCTCTTTAATTTGGAGCAGGGTCTGGAATTATATAGTTACTTGGGCGGGGGCCAGGACCACACTTCAGTCTTCTAATGTGAGGACATCTTTTCTTTCTTGTACTGCTTCATCCCAGATGGATAAGGTCAGGTAGAGCCCATTGTATAGAGAGGGGAGTATCGTTTGTAAAACTTAATTTTATGTTTCTTAAAATCCGCTTCAATATAAGGAGATACTCTTCTTTAGTCCATTTAGCACAGAAAACAGTGTCCAGAAGGTCAAGAAACATAGGTTAAATTGACTTTTAAAAAGTTAGTAATATTTTCAAGTGAAATGCCCCCTATATTTTTTCTTCAACACCTAGACACTCTTCCAGGTATTGCACCTTGAAATATAAAACAATGGGTCCAACTGCTACTCTAAAATAAGATCTAATAAATAGACAATAGAGTATCCAGAAGTATGTACTTATTACAATTTTTCAGTCACCCACAATTTAGAAATGCAAATTACTCCTTTTCAAATTTTTGAAAATAATATACATATGAGTAAAAATTTTAAAGACTACATATCATTCTAAAGGTCGCAATTCCTAAATGCCTTCTAAAGAAATGATTATATCATTCCACATCTGTGATCTTATACAGCTAATTATGTCCTCTTGTCACACGAAATATAATACCAGTGAGATAACCCATAACCGACCATTAATCCCATATGTGGGCCAGTGTGTCACCAGCTTTTTTTTTTTTATCATCTCAACAAACACCTGCAGGTGCGGCATTGCCCTGGATGCATGGATGATGCCCCTGGAGGAGGAAGTATTGTCCAAGTTTTCTCAGCCCCTCTTTTTCATCAACTCTGAACGGTTCCAATATCATGATAATATCGTAAAAATGGAAAAATGCTTCTTACCTGGCAAAGAAAGGAAAATGATTACAATCAGGTAACAGCAACTGACTTATTTCACCATCTGAAACAGAAACTTGCAACTTGGACACACAGCCACAGGCATGGGTCTTTAAAGGATTGTTACATTTGTTGTTTAGACATTCCATAAGGGAAAATGTTCGACAAATCTCAAGTTCTAGGTGCATTGAGACTCAATCTTTTAAAAATGCAAATGTTTGAGTAGTGTTACTGCATGTAGCTTATATACTGATAATTAAAATGTGTGCTGGACTCATGCCATTTCCATGTAAACCCAGGAGCAGGCTTACACATTGTGGGGCCTGCGGTAGAGGGTAATGTCCCATTATCAGGGTAGGGTAGGAACTCTTTAGAAAAAAAGTCAGATCATCTGTTGAGACCGGCAATGTATTTACCTATTTGGAAGGAATACAAATTTATAAATTCCCCCAAAACTATAATGGGTTTCTCCTTGAGCATTGGCAATAATGGTTATATCATTGAAAAGGAAACCCCATTAGGGTCTGGAACCCACAGTAGGATGTTACAAAGCAGGACAATGCTCATCCCCTTCCTACCTGGAACCGGTCTGTTTCCAGGGAGAAAAGAAGCGGCAGGAAGGAAATATATAGTGCAGGTGATAAACACTTCGGAATCAGAGGATGGAGGGGTCTTTTCTAACTGAGGTGGTCAGAAAAGGCTGCTTGGAAGAGATGGGAGTAGAACTGAAACTTGAGGGATGGAGAGAGGTTTTTTTTTTCCTCTTTTTTTTATCTTTATTGTTGAATGTATTACAGATGTTCCTCATTTTACCCCCATTAACCCCCTCCTCCCCACTCCCACCCCCCTCCCGCCTTTTTCCACACTGTTGCCTGTGTCCACTGGTTATGCATATAAGTTCTTTGGTTTATTTCTTCTTACCTCCCAACCTCCTTCCCTTTGAGGTTTGTCAGTCTAGCAATGAATTTGTACTTCTTAGTCCCTTCACCTTTTTCACCCATTCCCCCAACCCCCCTCCCATCTGGCAACCAACAAAATGTTCTCTGTATCTATGAGAATGTTCCTGTTCTACCTGTTCATTTTGTTTGTAGATTCAATTGTCAATAGATATGTATTCACTGCCATTTTATTTGTTCATATATTTTACCTTTTTCTTCAAAAAGACCCTTCATCATTTCATATAATAATGATTTGGTGGTGATGAACTCCTTTAACTTTTTCTTGTCTGGGAAACTCATTATATGGCCATCGATTCTAAATGACAGCTTTGCAGGATAGAGTATTCTTGGTTGTAGGTTCTTGCTTTTCATCACTCTGAATATTTCTTGCCATCCCTTCTGGCCTGCAAAGTTTCTTTTGAGAAATCAGCTGACAGTCTTATGGGAACTCCCTTGTAGGCAACTAATTGCTTTTCTCTTGCTGCTTTTAAGATTCTCTCTTTGTCTTGAACCTTTTGCATTTTGATGATGATGTGTCTTGGTGTGGACCTCTTGGGGTTCATCTTGTTTGGGACTCTGTGTGCTTCCTGGACTTGTATGTCTGTTTCCTTCACCAAGTTAGGAAAGTTTTCTGTCATTGTTTCAAATAGGTTTTCGATTTCTTATTCTCTCTCATCTCCTTCTGGCACCCCCAAGATGCGAATGTTGGCACACTTGAAGTTGTCCCAGAGGCTCCTTACACTATCTTCATTTATTTTGGATTCTTTTTTCTTTTTGCTGCTCTGATTGGGTGTTTTTATTTCCTTATATTTCAAATCAATGGTTTGCGTTTTGGTTTTACCTACTCTACTATTAAATCTTGTACATTATTCTTTATTTCAGTTAGTGCCTCCTTCATTTCTGACTGGTCCTTTTTTATGCTCTTGAGGCCCTCACTAAGTTCACTGAGGCCCTCACTAAGTTCATTGTATCAGCAGTCTTTTGAACTCAGCATCTGTTAGGTTGCTTATCTCCATTTCACTTAGTTCTTTTCCTGGGGTTTTGTTCTGTTCTTTCATTTGGGACCTGTTTCTTTGTCTCCTCATTTTGGCTGCCTCTCTGTGTTTGTTTCTGTGTATTACTTAATGAGAGGTATGGGGCTAGCTGAGACCAGATGCTGCTTGTTTGAAAGAATTTAGGAAAACCTGAAGCAGGATCCAAGACAGGCCAATCCCAAGGTTAAGCAAGTGGCAACAGCTTGGGTGGGCCTGAAAGTTGGGTGGGGCGGGGGCTCAGGGAGTCAGCAGGGCGGGGATACCAGTGTGAGCCAGGTTGCTGGAGTCCCAGGTATGGCTTCTGTCTGCCGCCCCAGGGAAGGGCTCACCAAAGGAACAAAGGCCTCTGACAGCATGTTTGTCCCGGAGAAAGCCCCCTCTCCAGCCCTTGCTCCAGTGCCAAACAGCTCAGTTCTTCCCTGTATGTCTCTGGTGCCCCTTGAGCTGCCTCCTCTCCAAGCTTAGAGGGAGAGAGTCCAAGTAAGTTTGTGCACGGGCCCTTTAAGAGGATCCACCTGGGGCTCCAGCCACGTCAGCCTCCTGAGCCTCAGTTCCCGCTGGTTTTTCCAGCCAGAAGTTATGGGGACTTCTCTTCCTGGCACTGGAACCCTGAGGGGGGTGCCTGGTGTGGGACGGGGACCTCTCAGTCCTCAGGGAGGACCTTCCCAGCCGAGGTGTCCTCCTGATTTTTATCTGCCACACGTGGGTGTGGAACCAGCCTGTCCCCTCCACCCCTCCTACCAGTCTGGATGTGCCTGCTGCTTTAATTCCGTAGTTGTAGGACTTCCATTCAGCTTGATTTCAGGTGGTTTTGAATGATGGTTGTTCTGTAGTTTAGTTGTAATTTTGATGTGGTTGTGGGAGGACACGATACCGCGTTACCTACGCAGCTGTCTTGGGGATGAAGAGAGTTCAGAGAGATGGGGGAAGGTCTAGGTAAGGCAAGGACTTCAATTTCGCGTACTTGTATGTGCACGTCTAGTTCTAAGAGAGAAATAGTACAGAACGCCTAACCTCTCCTCCACCCTCCTTCTTCCTAGGCTCTCTTTTCCTTCCCTCCTCTGTGGAAACCTTGAAAGAATAGCTGCTATTTAATATTGCATATCCTTAGTTCCATGTACTCGATTCCTGGGGGCTAGCGTCCTGAATGCCCACCGCTGTGCTGAAGCCTAACAAGCCCAGCAGCCTGATTGCAATCTCCGCATCCATTCGACCTTGTGAGGACGCGTTTCTCCTCCAAGACCACCCCAGCCCTCCTCTTCCCTGCTCCCCCGTCATTGACACCGCTCCCTCCCTTCTCCGCCACCTCTTCTTCTCCGAGGCCGTTCCTCTGCTGTTGGTGGCAGCCAGGCTTCTGCTTTTCCATGACCTTCTATCTACCTTCTCTAGGAGTCTGACTCTCAGGTTTTGTTTGGAATGTGGGGAGGAGTGTGCGGGGGACAGGTGGTTCTGTTTCGAATCGAGGATGCATGGTTTGCTTATAAGCAGCAACAAAGTGAGAGGGGAAAAAAATTTCACCAAGTGGGGCTGAAAGAAATGTATTTTAACCTTGGCATGTCTTAGCTTGAGACTGAGAAATCTGGGGAGAGATGTCTGGCCACAATCTGGAAATGCACAGACTTTGCATGTGATAGATGAAGCCTTTGGCGTAGGGGAGACCACGGAGTAAGAAAAGGACCGGTCTGAGCATGGAGCCTTGTGAAATGCCCACATTTGAGGTGCAGAGCCAGGAAAGAACAGGATACACGGAAAGAGGGGCCGGCACTACGTTAAGGAGCAAAGAGAGAGCCCTGGCCAGTTTGGCTCAGCGGTTAGAGCGTCGGCCTGCGGTCCTGAGAGACCCGGGTTCGGTTCCCGCTAAGGGCACGTACCTCGGTTGCAGTTTGTCCCCGGCTCTGGTTGGTTGTGCGGGTGGCAGCCACTCGATGTGTCCCTTTCACATCGATGTTTCTCTCTCTCTCTCTGTTCCTCTCTCTCCCTCCCACTCTACCTGAATAAAAAAATGGAAAAATGTCCTTGGGTGAGGAAAAAAAAAAAAAAAAAAAAAGAAGGCATAAAAAAAAGAAACAAAGAGAGAAAAATAAAATAAAAGCAAGTGTAAAATGTCCCAGAGGTAATAGAAAATGAGCAATTAAAAAAGCCATTCTATTTGATAGTCAGATATTGGTGAATTTTTTTCTTTATTGGTTTTAGAGAGAAACGAAGGGAGAGGGAGAGAGAAATAGAAACATCGATGAGAGAGAACATTGATTGGCCGCCTCCTGCATGCCCCCCACTGGGGATCGGGTCCACAACCTGGGCATGTGCCCTGATCAGGAATCAAACCTGCGACCTCTTGGTGCATGGGTCGATGCTCAACCACTGAGTCACACCAGCCAGGTGGCTGTTGGTGAATTTAAAGTGTAGCATAGTGATATTTGTAAGGTGCTTACAGTTTAAATAATACAAGAAAGGGTGTTTTTCTAATCTACTTAATCCAAGGCTTAAATCCGAAGTGTTTTGATTAGCATCAAATAGATATGGAGTTAAGTGATGGTGGTAAGACTTCTGGCTCTGAGTTCAACATAGAATACATGCCATCTACTGAAACTGGAAGTATTCTAGTCTCTTAAAAAGCTTGAATCATTTCTTTTAAAAACAAGATGCCAATCAAAATAGGAATCTTTACACTGTTTATCTAGAAGGGAAGACAAATGTATACTCTAGGATCCCTAAATGAACAGTCTGTGACTCTTAAATTCATATCTATGAAGATCAAATCGTTAAGTTTTGCTTCCTTGCATTTTAGCAAATAAGTCAACCAGGCCCTGGACAGTGTAGCTTAGGTGGTTGAGCATCGTCATGGGTGGTAAAAGGTTGCTGGTTTGATTCCCAGCCAGGGCACATGCCCGGGTTGCTGTCTCTATCCCCGGTAAGAGGTGTGTAGGAGGCAGCTGATGGATGCTTCACTCTCACGTTGATGTTTCTATCTCCTCCTCTCCCTTGCTCTCTAAAAAAAAAGGTAAGTCAACCAGTCTTTCTTGCACCCTAACTGCAAATATAATTTTGTTAAACAATGTGATTTGTAAATGTCTCATTTATCTTTCAGGGATTCGGTCCATCAGAATTTTGCTGACTTCACTTTTGCAACTGGCAAAATAGCTGGATACATATTCACCTTAAAAGGAAAAATAGATTCAAATGTAGCTATTAATCTTAGCAACAATGCCTCATTAGCATTCTTACAAAAGCATTTAGGTAAGAAACTAATAATTCTTTCATTCCATAAACCAGATGATTCTCAGGACAAAACTGTCTGTCTTAAAACAGCACTAATCTCATGTTAACAGTTTCCAGTGGTTTACCACGGAACACAGCAGTTAAATTAATATGAAAATGAAAATTTGAGAAATTTAATTTTGCTGCATTGCATCCTATATGTCAGACAGTGAGCCTACCTGTTAAAGCTAACAGTCTTCCTGGTAAGGCTCTGGTGGACGCCCATGCTGAGGATACTGGGCATGTGCCTCAATCCCATCTCACTCAGATGCAGAGGCTGAAGCAGCCACGAGGGGCGCAGCTGGGCGCAGGATAATTTGTCTCCAGGACCACTATACAGATTATGTAATTTATGATGCTACCGTGCCACCTAGTGGCCCTCGACGGTTTAATGCTCTCAAAAATGTAATGTTTATTAACATTTATATTTTACAGAACTTAAGAGAGATTTTAATAAGTGGGATGATTTGATTGAAGGAAAAGACAGTCGCCTTATTCCAGGGAGCAATATTAACACAACCGACCACCACAGCATTCTACAGAATTCTACAGGAAGAGAGAAACAGAATTTGGATTAAAAGTGCTGTTTAAAAAGTCTTATTTTGAAGCTGATTGAAAGTATGTATGTGTTGTATGATTTTTAGCCTATACCATGATAGTGAACTGAAGCATGGATTAAAAAAATTTTCCTTTAAATGTAAAGAAAGACTGTAGCATATAAAAATCATACCCACCTAAATTTTACTTTTATTTTTATCCTCACTCGAGGACATTTTTCCATTTTTTTTTTTGTTGTTGTTGTTGTTGTTGTTCAGATAGAGTGAGAGGAAGAGAGAGAGAGAGAAACATCGATGCGAAAGGGACACATCGAGTGGCTGCCACCCGCACGACCCCAACCAGGGCGGAGGACAAACTGCAACCAAGGTGCGTGCCCTTAGAGGGAACCAAACCCGAGTCTCTCTGGACCACAGGCCGACGCTCTAACCGCTGAGCCAAACTGGCCAGGGCTTTACTTTTTATTAAAATGATCTTTTTTACTAAAAGGATCTTTTTTTTAGTATCAAGTTAATAACTGTTTTTACATTACATTAATGAACAAGGGTATTAAAAGTGGCACAATGCCAATGAAAACATGCTACGAGGACATAACATGCCCTAAAAACCTATAAAGACAGATTTTATTGCCTTTTTTTTTTTTTCTATCGCGAGCAGTAGAATTTGGTTTCGGCGACATGGTATTGTAGGTAGACTCTGGCAGCACTTCCTTTTGCTTCTTGGTCATGGTAGGGAAACAGCTCAACAGGTAATAAAGCCACTGCTGTGCCGCAGGGTTGGTGACTCTACACAATTTGACTATGATGGCTGAATGGGTGGGGACAAGGGTGACAATATTGGAGACAAAGCAAGGGCAGCAGATGAAAGAAAGTGGGTAATTTGTTGGCATTTGCTTTCATGGTTTATCTCTGGTGGATTGTGCGTTTGAAAGAAAAGTGCCTATGACAAGGCAGAGACTCAGCGGCATAACACATTAAATGTCTCATTTAGCCCAAGGCTGGGAGAACAAAAGAAACATTCACAATTACTTTTAACTGCCTTATTTTCCAATTAGTTTTATTTAATGAGTGCTCTTAATTCCATAGGTAGTACTGGACTATCACAATCGATGGAGGTGGGGAAGATACCTTAAAAAATTATGCACTTGTATATCCAGGAGTCAAGGGGAAAAAAATTGTTTTAATTTTTAGTTTCCCAAGGGATATAAAAGATTATGCTACTGACGAGCTATGTTTTGGTCTAAGTACGGCCTTGTTCCTCTGACTTCTCTATAATTAATTAAGCCTGTGTGAACAGGGATAATCAGTACTTGGTAAACAAGCTTGGTTTACTGTAACTATTCCATCCATATGTCTTCTGCCCAGTTAATAAGTAATTGTGTTCTAAAATGGCACTTCAGGCCTGTCTTAATGTTTTAAGGTACAAAGTCACTCATTTTGAAAAATCTGGTTTCTCTGTTTTTTAAACAGTTGGATTAAACTCCTCAGCGTGAAACCCCCGGCCTTCTATAACCGGGCCCTGGAGCGTGTTCTCTGACTTCTCCCAGTAATTCGCAACTATGTCTCCTACGTGTTGAGCCAAACTCGTCTGTTCACTATCTCAGGAGCAAACCATATACTTATCTCAATTACCTCTAATGCAAAACTGTCTCCTTTCTGCTTATGGAAATGACACCCAGCTTTTAAGATTTTCCCTATTCCGGTCCGGCTTCAGGGTCCGATGATGTTTCTATGCACACATCTTCCCTCCACTCTCACGTAGAAACCTTATTTGAGAAATGGATAACCGACCCAATCGTTTTGGTGTCCCATCCATAGCACCTCTTTAAAATCCTTTCCTGGCCCTGGCCGGTTTGGCTCAGCGGTTAGAGCATCAGCCCACGGACCAAAAGTCCCGGGTTTGATTTCAGCCAAGGGCACGTACCTCAGTTGCGGTGGGTCCCCGGCCCAGGTTGGGGTGGTGTGGGTGACAACCAGCTGATGTGTCTCTCTCATATCGATTTTCTCTCTCTCTCTTGCTCTAGCTGAAGATAAATAGAAAAATATCCTCGGGTGAGGATTAAAAAATAAATGAATATATAAAAACTAAAAATTAAAAAATATATAATAAACTGCTTTCCCCCTGCTGGGGACAGGAGGAAATAACTTCTGAAAGGCTCCAATGGGTTACGGTTTTAAAAAACACCTAGCTCAGTGCACACTGAGTATGTGTCAGGGAAAATAAGGAAATACTTATTGAAACGCCTGCTCCTTTTCAGATACTTTACATCAGTTATTTCTCATCTTGAAAACACTGCAAGAAAGGTATATTATCCCTATTTCACAGATGAGGAAGATCAAGGCTTAAAGATACCATAGAACCTGCCTAGGTCACATTTCCCGTGAGCAATATCTAAGTCGGACCTACCACCCATAGAAAACCGTGTTTTTGGAAGTGTGAGCTTTGATGTTAGATAGGCCCAGTTTGATCAAGCCTCTAGCTCTCTGACCATAGGCAAGCTACTTAACCTCTCTCAAAAGTTTCCATTTTCTCCCCTGTAAAATATATCGATATGCACCTTAGAGTCAAGGATTAAACAAAAAAATTCTCTGAAAGTACCAGATGAGCAACTCAATGTATAGCTAACATTTCATGTTGCTCTGTTTCCCCCAACTGTAGACTTGCGGTTCCTTTACTACATATATCCCAACATTCTATTTCCTTTTTAATGAAATGAGGCCACTACACCTTTAAGGATAAACTTTATTCAAATACTGTGTCACTGTAGAATACTTCCCAATTCAAACAGACTCTGAGTCAAAGGTTCAGAGGCCAAACAAAAGTCCTGAAGGAGTTACAAAACCACCCTTCTAAGTAGCATCGTAGAATATATTTGTCAAAACCTATACTTTTCTATTGTAATTTAAATGCCATATTCAAAAGAAAGCAAAATAGTTGTTGTGTTTTATTTTTGAAAATGTGACTTAATGTGTTAGTAAATTGGTTAGCAAAATAAAGAACCCCGATCTGTATATATTCAGCAATACGACCGTAAATACACTGCACAGTCAACCTGAGATCTGTTTTGTTTTCAATGCACATCAAAGTTTCCCAAAAAGGACAACTTCTTGTTCCGGCGCTCAGTCTGCTCAGATGCTCTGTTGGTCTGGATGCCTTGCCTCTTGTTGACGAGCAGCTTCTGACTGGCCACATCCATGGATCCACCGCTAAATCTAAGTCACCTCCAGACCCCTTTCCTGGGGTTAAGAAAGGAACAGAAAAACAAGAACATTACTTACATGGGAGCTACAGATTTACTGTCCTCTAAAAATGGGGAGAAGTCAGATGAGTATTCTAATGTCTGCAGAGAACTCTAACTACGGAGAATGATCCCCACCAAAAAAATGTTTTATTTTTAGTATTTTGGTTCGCACACACTACCTATTATTATCAAAGTTTCTCTAAAATATTACAAAGTGGGTATATTTTTTATTTCGCTAGAACGACGTTAACAAGGCTGGTAGCCAGTTAGTCCGTGCTCTCCTCGGTTAGCGTCTGTTTTTCACGTAAAGCCAAGAGCTGTGTCACGCTCAGTGTGCTCAGTTATAAGAACCAGCGGGCTCCTTGTGAACACGGCCCAGCAATGCCCAGGGACTCCCGAGTTGCACTGTATCACGGATCTAAAGCTAAAATCCCTGAAAGAAATTCCAAGACACCATTTAACATAGACGGATCATTTGAACATAGGAGCTAATTAACACTGAGAAAATCCTTTGAAATATGAATTGATCAGATTCACAGTCTGACTTTCAAGATGAATTCAATCAATAAACAAATTCCCTATTTCAAGAAGTCCTCTTCCTGGTTATTTATCCTAAGCACAATGAACATTTGTAGCTCCAGGTTTTTTTTCTTACTAACAACCACATCCATTGAAATTGATAAACCGTTTTTTTGTTTTTTTTTTAATATGCCCCTAGTGGGAACCAAACCCGGGACTCTCTGGTCCGTTGGCCGACGCTCCAACTGCTGAGCCAAACCGGCCAGGGCGAGAAACCATTTTTGTTGTGGGTTCAGGGTAACGGCATCTTTAAGATGTGGCAATCTGGTTTACAGACAAGAGTGACGTTTAATGGTGGTGTCCCCCGATGACATGAAGGAGAGATCTCTGCCCACTGTGTGGACGACAGACTAACAAAGGGAACCCTTGGACTATACCCAGTTCTTCATTACAGGCACAGAATAATTAAAATCAGAAAGGGGACCGTAGATAAACCAGAAGGATGGTAAACAACGAAAAGTAATCCCTTAGAAAGCATGACAGTCTGATTTTACAGTGACGAATCACCTCGAGTCCACCTTCCATTCTTTGACTACTCATTTCTCCGGGCCGTCTCCACAGGACACCCACCCAGAGAATAACGTGCACTTTTCCAATGGGCTCCCACACTCCCACATCTCTGGTGCTCGGTGCCTGGTTCGAAGGCTGCTACTTCAAACACACCGTCCGTGGTGAGCCACAGACAGATGCTTTAGTAAAGACCTAATGAAGAAGAATACTTCTCCTGGATTCTTTTCAACACCTAATCGCATCATGTGCACGATCTCTGTACAGAAAAGAGCACATGAGACGTAAAACAAAATAACTCAGATGAAAAAAAATCTAAAAAATGTTATCAAACGGAATCCCAGAGCTTAATGACCTGATGTGTCACAAAAAACTAGCCCTTTGTCATTTAATGCCTCACGATATTCACTTTTTAAGGAAAACCAGCTCACTTGTAGACAGGCCTTTGTATCTAAACGTTTCTACAACTTTGAGGAAAGGGTCACTTAAATCTCATTGAGAACCAAATAAAAATGGAAAGCCTTACTAAGTAGTTTCTGTATTTGCTAATTGACTTAAAGTGAGAAGTAGGTATGTAGATATCATTTTATGAACACTTTAAATGGCTCACTTCTATTTGGCAGGTATGGGATAGTTTATCCAAATAGAATCTTATCTCTTTAAATCTATATACATTTGTCTGTGGATTCTTGAAAATAAATGAAAAAGGCCAGAATGTAAAAGAAAAATACCAATGCAACATAAGTGAAATGGGCTGTTATTTTTGGCAAATAAAAAAATGGAATTAACATAACATGATGTTCAATGATTTTTCATAGTGAAAAACTTCAAATGACCTACATTTCCAACACCAGGAGAAATCAATAAATTATTGGCCATTAATGTCATGTGATGTTACGCAGTTCAGGCCTTCTAGTTTCAGCCAGGACTGCAACTAAAAAATCTGGAAAGGGTACAAAAAGCAACTCCCTGTGGATTCTGCAAAGTAAACAGAACAGGTAGAACAAGGACTGAAGTAAACACTTGAATAGTAGCTCATAATGGTGAGTTTCACAGGCTGGTTTTTTTTTTTCCTGTTCTTTCTTTTTTTCTTCTTTGTCCTACTTTTTTCCTGCTTTTGACCTGAGGTTGGACTAAATTAGAGCTGCCCAGCTGGGGCGGACAGCAAAACTCTGAGCAAAATCCGCTCTATGTAGCCAGCAGACTAGAGAAAGAGGCCCCTGGCTGCCAGAGGGGGCAGGTGGGAAATCCCTGATCTGTTTTTCTGTTTTCTCTCCTGGCCCTGTCCTGACAGCAGCTCCTGCCACTCCAGGCACCTGAAATGAAATGTGAGTGGACTCTGGCCCTGGAACTGGGGCCTCCTTTATCGGTTATTTTCCCTCTCCTCTCTGCGCATTCCACAGGCAGGTCAGCCGCGCAGAAATGCATGGCAGCGCAGAGGGGAAACCCTGTTAGCAACGTGCTTTCCCGCCGGAGGACCAGGAGAAAGGGCCACTCTCTAGGGGCTGGGTGTGAGGGGCTCCTCGGGATCTGAAAGTGTGGAGGAAATCTGAGAGAGAAAAGGAACTGGAAAATTTGGACCCCTGATACTATATGGGAACTGATATAAGTCCCAAGGTCACCCCTGAACAGAACAGAACCAAATAAGCGTAGCCAAGGCTTTAACATCTGAACTACCATATAAACCACTGCCCAACTGCCAGACGAACCCTAGGCGCTTATGTTCCGGGCAGACCCGAGCATCACAGCAAAGACTTTGTAAACTAAACTGACGTGGGGGCCACCAAACACAGAAATTGTCGTTTGAACCTAGCGGGGTTGGTCACCTGCCAAAACAAAAACGTCCTATTTTCTAGAAGATTTGGACAGGATTGAAAGTCTTACAACATAATATTCAAAACATTTAGGATATGATCCAAAATCACTACACATATAAAGAACCAGAGAAAGCTAATCAGTTCTCAAAACACTCAGTAGATGCAGATCCTGAGATGATCAGATGATAAACTATCAGACACATTATGAAGCAAGAAGTTCGATGAAGTCCAAACAGGATAAACTCAGATGCCCAGACATACCATAATGGCATGGGAAATTGCCCACCTTATAATCTTGAATGAAGAACAAAATATAAAACTGTATGTAAAATGAAATCAACTCTGTTATGTTCAAAATATGTAGATGATACATTCCATATAATCATAAAAAACTATAAAAGAAAACCACATGGATTAATCTGTTTATCTTTGGATGGATGTATTACATGCGACTGGTACTTTCTCGTTTTTAACTTTGCCATTTTCCCAGATTTCCTGCAACAAACATATTTTATGAAGGTCACGGACACCAGTTCTCATTTTTTAAATGAAAATCAAGGAGTAAAACATTAACAACTAGCTTGCCCAAAGGACTGTGAGGCATAAAGTCCAGAAACATTGATTCTGTTGTTGACATTTTTCATTGTTATTACAGTATTAGTATTTTTTTCCTCCCTATTCCTAAACACAAGGTCTTTGGCAACAGTTGTCGACTTTCAAAATGAAGGACAATGCTCTCGTTAATTACCATTTATATAATTCCATACCTCAGACGGACTCTTATCCAATTTGGGTATGGCATTCCAGACATTCTCGGGGTTCACTGTCTCCTCCATACCATTTGAAAGGTTCAAAACCTACCATAGGGAGAAAAAAAAAATTGTCAAACTCGGTCGTGTCCAAAAACTGTAACTGATTTTTGTGCCATACCAATCCTTTTAAAAATAAAATGACCTTAAAAGGCAATAAAAATAATGTTATTAAATTTCAGTCTTAGGTTGCAACTCAATGGTACTTCAGTTTAAAAACCATATATTGAACATACCTAAAGATCAAAAATTTGGGTCTCAAAGAAGTTCAAAATGTGGTGGAGATAATCATAATACAATGTAGGAAGTACAGACTTCTGCAGAAGGAGATACAGAAATACGGAGTCTGTAAAAGCTGTCTGGGGTGGGAGGTGGGGGAAAGTGGAGATTTAGGAAGTAATGCGAGCGAATTCTCCCTGGAAGAGGCCACGGCCAAAGGAAATCTTGGAAAGACAAGTGGAAATTAACCAGTTTGCGAAGGGGACAGAATGCAGGCAAGTGGAACTCACTGAACTATTAAAGACCTTAGACAAGCCAAGCAGAATCGTATATATAAGAGAAAGCAAGCACATTGGTGTTTATCTAGATATAAGGTACAAGAAATAAAGAAGCAAAGAAATGAATAAGGCTGGAGAGGTACATTGCTGCTTAATCCTGGAGGCCCCTTACATGTTGGTGAGCTTGACTTTTCTGTTCTGGACCAGTGGTTCTCAAATTTTAATGAAGTTCAATGAATTTTATAAGAATGCACAGTCCTGCTCCTACTCCCAGAGGTTCTGAATCAACCAGCCAGGGCACAGCCCAGAAAGCCACAGTTTAAGTAATACACCAGGTAACTCTGATTCAAGTGGTTTACAGATCACAGGAAAACCCAATCAACTGCAAGTCCCCAGGAACTTTTACACACAGGAATGATGCAGTCAGATCAGCCTTTGACAAACTTCGCATTGGCAGTGTGGAGAATCATTTGAAGGGAGACTAGAAGAAGAAAACTAAATACAAGAGAAATCTGGATGTGAAATGAGGGACTTAAACCAAGGGATGTAAATGAGAGACATGAAATATAAAAAAGTTTTAACAGATAAGAAGTGGAAAGTATGGAACTTGGTGACTGATAGGATCCCAGGGCTGAGGGAGATAAAAGAGCCTGGCATAATTTCTTGCCAGGATGCATATCTTTGAACTTTTAAAAAGATGTTTGCACTGCATCAAAATATGAGGGGGAATGAACAGGTGAACCTTTGTCCAATTGCATTTTCTCATCTGGGAACATTTCCTTAACAGTCTGCAGGAACAGTTTGAGGTAAAGCACTTCAGCTGGACTCACCCTTGTGCCTTCTTCAGCTATTTCCAAAATCTCACATTCAGACCATGTGTGTCTTGACCACACAACACATTTGGATCCAACAGTAAACCCGTTCAGAGTGTAGGTGTTCTCTGGTTGAGCTGCCAGGTTGAACAGAGGAGGACTCAAAGCCTGCCTGTTATGCCTTAATGTCAGATACACAAGCAAAGCATCTTCCTAACCTGCCTTTGCTATTCCTATGTAATCACGATCACTTACGGTACCGCATGTTCTAAGTGTGTCATCTTTCCTCAATTGTATTTGAAATTCTCCCCATATAATTCCTTACCATTTCCCTCAAAACAAACAAACCAAAACCAAAAAACCCATAACTATGTGTTGTGTTTTTTAAGGATGTGAGTCTGATTCTAACCGTAAATGTGACTACTAAAAGCCGGTTATTATTGCCATGTGCGGTGTGCTCTATGGTTACAACCGTTTCTACAGCAAAGCAGCATATTGCAAATGAACAATCTTATCACAAAGCTATTACTTACCACTGTACAATGTAACAACGAGGACTAAAAATCTAGTGTAATATTTAGATAAATTATCAGATATCCATGGGATATCTGAATTAAAATATTTTGAAAGCATTTAAGAGATTAAAACGCAGTACTGAACACTGTAGGATAGTATGATCTCTATTTAGTTTTTAAAAACTCTGTAAATAAACACACACGCAAGGGAGCGAGACAACAGAAAGGAAGTCACCAAGGCGTTCACCGTGGCCACTTCTTGGTGGTACGGTTACGGGGATTTTTATTCTCCTTAGTCTACTGTGTTTTCTATTTTGTACAATGGCTCACATTTAATAACATAACAACTATTAAAAAGTCTAACATTGATTATAAAATAACAAACTAAAAGTTAGCCATTTTGTCTAACTTTTAAATCTTATTAAGCCATCAAGAAAACAGCGGTAATAACAATTCACAGAAAAGTTAATGACAATAAATGTTTTCCAATCTTTACTCCTGGCTGTTAACTTTTTGGGTTAAAATAGGCTCCATAATTTAGCTTTTGTTTAAAGGATTCTAAATAAATGGCAAGGTATATACATGAAACAAAACAGTTAAATTTGAAAACCCTGCTAACATGATCCCTATTATAAATTCATACCTGCAGTAATGCTTGGCAAAAAAAAAAAAAAAATACAAACAAACAAACAAACAAACACCCTATTGTTTTTAAACACCAAAAACCATTATCTCTTTATTTCAAAGGTATTTTGTTTACATTTTAATGTGCTTACTTTTTTGGACACATATTTTAAGCCTTTTATTTTAAAAATAATTCAGCATTTCACACAGCATATAAAGTATTATTTTACATTGATCTTATAATTTAATTTCCCCGTGTTAAAAATACCCTACAAATCGGATAGTTTTACTATTTACCCTACGTTTTACTATTTCCCCCCCAAATAATTAACTTAAAAATTCAAATAAGAATTATTCTTTCCTTTAAGACAAATAAGTCATTTTGAAAGACTCTAAGTTAAACCTAAAGGAAAGTGACAAGAAGGAAATTCACATACCTGAGACACGATCGGGTGAAACACTGTTTCTCCTCCCATCCCGGGATTCTTCGGAGAACAAAGACGTCCGTGGGGGAGCAACACCTCTGTCTTTATGTCCTGTGACGTCTCCTTCATCTAGACTCTTTCCCCTCTGCCCCTGGGCATCACACGGCTTTCCAGGGGGCCGCCGTGGCAAACCATGCGGGTCACCAGAACAGTCCACGCAGCTGGACTTCTGCGTGTCCTCAGCACACACGGGTTCTAGACGCAGCGGGGCGGTAGGTAGTTCTAGCTCTGGCTGTTCCTCGGCTGCACAGGTGAGGGGCAGCTGCACTGTACATGTCTCCAGGGTGGCTTCTGTGTCACAGCCCCGAGGGAAAGGCCCGACCGGAGGCCCCGGGCCTGGCTCTTCTTTGTCTTCATCCCCCACTAGAGAATGCTGTAACTCCAGGGATTCCAGCTCCACAAATTCTTCGGGGTCATCGTCGGGAGAAAGCGGCACCTCGACTGACTCTAGTTCTAGCATCTCCCGTGTTTCACCGGCACGCAGGGACAGTGTGGTGAATCCTGTCCTGGGGTATTTATTATCAATCTTTGCTTTGTCAACCACAAGGCTCTCTATTTTCCCTTCCAGTGCCTCCTCGCCACTGTTACCTCCGCATGGGTTTTCAAGAGCTTTAAAAAGGTTATCGGTTTCGGGGTCGTGGGGTTTCTTTGGTGTGGATTCAATCACGTTTAAGACTTTTTCCGATCTGTCGGAGAGCTCCTCTGTCCGTGGCTCCACACACGGGGTTTTCTCTCGTTCGGCCTTACTGCTCGGTCTCTTAGGCCCAACGCCGGGAACGGGGGACCCAGGAGCTCCCTTTAGCTCCGGGCCATTTTTTTCATAGGGCACATCACTGTTGCTGATACCAATCTTAGGGTACTTCTTCATTTTTTCATTAATACTTTCACCTTTGCTCTTCAAGTCAACAATTGCTAAAGGGATGCCGCAAATGTCCCTTTTGATTCCCAAAACTGTTATCTCCAACACATCTTCCGTTACTATGTCATAGAAGTAGTCACTGCCTTTCGGAGGGCACACGCCCTCCGACGTGGGGAAGCCTGACAGGCAGCAGGGGAAGGCTTGCATCGGCACCGCCAGAAGTTCCGGAGGAATGGGCCAGAGTGCTGTCGGGTCCACGCAGTCTTCAGTGTTTCCAAAGTCCACGAGCCTGACGGACAGGAGAGAATCTTCACAAACCCTGGTGACAAGCGCCCTATAAAAATGCCCATCTTCTCTGTACCTCACTATGCAAGGATCTCCAACACGAGGACACGAGACACGACCTCTCCCCTCTGTTGCCTGTTCTCCAGCAGTCTGGACTTTTACTTCTAAGTACTGAAGTTTCTCCGTATCAGCAAACTGACACCAAAAATATTCAGGTCCATCGATCACAGTGGCATAAGCTCGTATGGTTTTCATCTTGGGATTATACCAGTTAAGAAATACCGAAGTGTCAACATCTGTTTTGTTGGCGGACTTTGAAAAGGCACCATCCATTATTTGGGTGGAAAGTCCTGTTTCAGGTTTTTCGCTGAAAGCGTATCTGCTAATCATATCTTCTGCTATGATTCCATGTTCATCGGCAAGAATAACTTCCCATCTGTCTTGATAGTTAACAAATTCACATCTTACTTGAGCCTCGTCTGTCCTTCGGGAAAAGTAATGCAACATTTCCTTACAGTTTAAAATCTCAGGAACCCAAAGCCCCCTTAAGGAGCAGTGAATGCACAGCCTTGGTAACAGTGCGTGAACAAGGTCAAGTTTACCGGTCTTGTTAGTAGGAATCACAGAAACATTGCCATAATCTATAAACTGTACAGAGAGGAGGTCACTGGGTTGTTGACCCATGACCACAGCACGATACCATAAACTGTCTTCTGGGAAAGTAGCACAAATTACATCTCCTCTTTGCAAAGGTGGACCTGTATAACATTTGGGTCTTGTACTAGCATCATTTAATCTCTCCGAAAGACGATCCAGTTCAGCTTCATCTTCTGTCAGTTGAACATAAAAGTCTGAAAGGTCATTTATATGAGAAACATATACAGTTGTTTTAAAGCCAGGCATTAGAGTCTTCTGTGGGAACTCAGACAATTTTAGAGGAAAATCTTTGTTATAGGAACCTCCGGTTTTTCTCTCTGAAGGAGTGACTTCCGGTTTGGTGACTTTCAAAAGTGGTGGCTCAGGAAAACTTTCTCTTTTCTTTTCTGTTGTTAATGAAGATGCTTCACTCTTTTTACTCTCCTCGGGGTCCTGATGTTGAGGGACTACATTTGTCTTCGTTGAACTTTGTGAAAGTCTGAGTTCCTTACATACTGAGCTGATCTTAGGGTTGTATGATTCCGCCAGGGTCTCTATGTTGTGTATCTTGTGCTCTACTGGTTTGCTTGAATATTTCGCAGGTGATGACTTCATGTTTTCCTTTTTCATGCCAAGAGTTTCTGTTGTAGAGAGTACTTCCGTTTCTTCTATTTTTCGTTTCCCACCTTTGTAACCAAGTAATGCTAACGTCTTGTTAATGTTAGCATTAATTTGAATACTGTCATCATAGAGTTCTATCATCAGTCTTCCATCTGGATCTTTGGCTACGACCACAGCCTTCAGTGGCTTGTCTGAGACAGTCTTCTGAAACCATGTTGCAACTTCTTCTGGTATATCATCAGGAATATCAGATAATGAGCATCTAAGAGCTTGCATGGGCAAAAATAAGACATCACACGCATCACTGGGTATTGAAAGCAGTTCATCATTTGTTGCCACATAAATGTTCCCAAAATCAACAAAGAAGACTTTATTTGGGTCTTTTTCTACCATTATCCCCCTATACCAATTTCTATCGGTATACTTAGCAAGGCACAGGGCTCCAGGGATCAAGGGAGATTTTTTTACATTCAGCAATGTTTTACTTAATTGTATAATGGAACATGACAACCGTTCTAAAATAGGGGCATTTCTTCCCAACTGGCAATAAAATGTCCAAGGGTCATCAACATGTGTTACACACACTGATTCTTTACTTCCAATATCCACATCATGTGTTGAATAGTAGTAAGAACGTAGCTGAATAGGGACCCCCAGTGGCTTTGAAAGCTTTACTGGTCTTGCAAGTCCCTCTTCTACCAAAGTTTGGCTTGCACTCCGAAAGGGTGTTAGTAAATCCACGATATGAAACAGTTCCTCATCACCTGTGGACGCAGTAGCAAACACTGTGCATTTTAATTCTAGGTTGTCTTTCCATGCATTCCCTACAAATTCACTGAACACTTTTATTGCCTTCTCACTCCAAACAAAAGGATTCTGACCCGCCGGTTGAATCAAATTATAAAGACTGCACCTAAAAGCCTGAGCCTTAACTTTGAGAAACTCTTCACTAATTGAACACATATTCTTCACAGATACCGTTTCTGCGTCTCCATAATCCACAAATACTACTTGGACATGTTCTGCAGAGCGCATCCTCCTGATCAGAGCTCGGGACCATTTTCCATTGATCGTTCGCTTTGCCAAACAAGCGGGGGTGGTTCCCTGGTAGGGAGCAGGGGTATTCTTGCAATAGTCCTGAATGTCACACATCAACGTCTTAAATCCTTGCATGTTCCTGATCAGCTGACACCAGAAGTGGCCAGGGTTTTCAACATAAGACACTTTAACCTCCATTGTACTTCCAACTCTTATCTCTCCTTTACAGGAAGAGCCTGATTTGATTTTCAAGATATTCTGTATAAGAGGGGAATAGACAGATACTCTGTTCTCTCTTTCCTGCACAACTAGTCCCGTCGAAACATCGGTGGCAACTACCGTGTCTGTCAAAGCTTCTGAAACACACGTAGTTGTATCACTTCCTTTGGTTTTCTGTTCCACTTCTTCCTTCTTGGCTGAAGCTATCTTGTTCTTCTCAGCACTAAAATAGTTTGAAACAGGCCCTAGGGAGTGGGCACGTCCAGGGATATTTTCCTTTGTTTCGAATTCCTGATACTTGGCATACCCAGCTTGGGCAATGACCTTACCAATGTTTTCTTCCCCTGTCCTTGATTCATCAAGAATCTCAACAACGTACTGATTGTCCTGCTTATCAAGGACATGGATAACTAATTCTTTGTGGAGCACAATCTTTTTAAAAAAGGAAATTGCCTCCTGGCTCCAGGTTTCTGCCAGGGGCCAGATATCAGCCAGAGTGCACTTCAGAGCCAACACCGGCAGCTGCCTGAACTGGGGTAGCAGGGCCCTCACGTCGTACCAGTCCACGTTCTCCGAATTGCCGCGGTCGACTAAGAATACGTCCACACTCTTGTCATCCAGTCTGGTGACCAGAGCCCGATAAAAACAATTCTCTGTCCATTTGACACAGCAGAGGTCATCGGCTTTTGGTTTCAAAACGACACCATCCAGCTTCCTGGCCGAGGAATAGAAACTGCACATTCTCCTCATCAGCTTGCTGAAGGTGGCCCTGTGTTTCCTCAACCCAATCCAAAACTCGGAGGGATTTTTCACAAACTCTACCTGGGCGTCATAGAAGGCATTCGTCTTTAAGCTGATAGACCTCAAGGCTGGGAAGGAAAGGTCTTCGCCCACCTCTTCAGCAGGAGGCTGGCAGTGGAGAGCTGCCTCTGCTTCGTTCTCGTCCTCGTCCTCCTCTGCCCCCTGGCTCCGAAGGAATCGGTCAGCCAAGCAGCAGGACTGCACTCCGAACACACAGTTGAGATTAATCCCATCTTCTCCGTACAGGGTGACGTAATACATATGCTCAAAGGAACAGTAAAATTCAATCTTTGCATTCACTGCCTGGCCCAGGATCAGAGCCTTCAGGTCACCGACCTGTGACCGAGACCAGCCTCTGCCACCGTCCCAGAGACCATACAGAGCACAGGGGTAGGTCACCACAGGCATGCGAAAATATTCGGGCAGCAAGTAGCGCAGGCTGCTGCAACTCACTAACTCCTTCCTGCCAAAATCTATGTGGAGCACCTGGGCGCAGCGCTGGGGCCGGAAGGTCTCGAGGAGGAGCGCCCTGTACCAACGCCCATCCAGGCCACAGGAGGCACATGGAGAGCCCGGCTTGTCGGGGCTCTCCTCCCTCTCCTCCCAGGTGGCGCTGGTGTAGTTCTCATGCCCTGTCTCCGCGGAACCCCGGTACACGTGGGCCATGCTCTCGGAGAGGCGGTGGATCTCTTGCGAGAAGCTCCGGAGCTGGCAGTGAATGCGGTGGGGATGGCACACCTGAGTCACCACCACGGGCTCTGTCACGCCCAGCTGCAGCTGGGGATAGAAGTAGTCCAGGCTAGGCTGTTCTAGCTTGGGCTGGACTCGCTGCAAGACCCGGGCCCCGGAGCCCATGCCAGCAGAGACTGCCGGGAGGTAGCGTTTGAGCAGCAAGCGGAAGAAGCTGTGGGGGACCTGCCAGGCCAGGCCGAGCTCCTGCATCTGCTGGAACAGAGTGGGCACCTCCAGGAAGACCAGGCAGTGGGGAAGAAGAACGTCCAGGACCCGCCCGCGCAACTCCTTGCCCTGCAGGTTGCTAAGGAATTCCACGGCGCTGGCCGGCCAGTGCTGGGGCTCGCCGCCGCCGCCCCCCGCGGGCACCAGGCCGGCCAGCACGCAGCCCAGCACCTCCGAGGGCAGGTGGAAAAACTCGCTGCGCCCGGGCACCAGCGAGCCCGCGCCCGCCGTGATGGTGCGGCCCTCGTCCAGCAGGAAGACGCGGCTGTCCTGCCCCTGCCGGCTGACCACGCGGCCGCGGTGCCACCGGAGCCCCACCTGCACCAGGCACAGCTCGCCGGGCAAAGCCGACACGCTGCCCAGCGCCCACGGGGCGCGCGTGGCCGCCGCTTCCTGGATCTCCTGGCTCAGCCGCAGATACTCGTCGCGCCGCTCGCCCACCAGCCCCCAAAGCTGCACAGGGATCACCTCAGAATGCACATCCACGAAGGACACCCGCAGGACCAGCGAGGCCCCGGGCGTCGGCAGCCCGGGCGTCGAGCCCATCTCGGTGGCGCGGCGCGGCCACTGCCCACTGAGCGTCAGGGCGCGGTCAGGGCGGCGAAACCCTCCCGCGCCGCTGCGAGGGGCAACGCGGCCTCTGGAGGGGAGGACTGGGGCGACTTCCGAGGCGACCCGAGGCGACGCGCCGGTCGTCGAGCCTCCCGGACGGACTCGCACCAACTGGTGAGACCTGGCGGCGTGACCAACCGCCCACGGTTGAGCCCACGGTTGCGCGGCTGCGCAGGCATTTGCTGCGCGCGGCGCCCCGGCTTCCGGCTGAGGGGCGGCGGAGGGGAGCCGGGCGGGGATGTGGTCGCCGCCCCAGAGGGCTGGCGGTGGTGTGAGGACAGAAGAGACCTTCAGGGCTGTTCAGGAGGCCGGAGGCAGCAGGACTGGAACACGACCTGCCTCTCCTTGGAGCGCCGCCCCCCCGGAGGACGCAGTGTGAAGGCCTGGCCAAGGGCTGCGGGGAGGCCCAGGCCGGAGTTGCTTCCTCTGTCCAGCTGGTGCTGGTGAGCCTTGAGAGCCAGGCGGGGCCCGCCAGCGGGGGAGAGGGCAGGAGTGATGCTCCAACAACGTTCCTGGGCGTTAGGGCCCGAACCCTCAGAGGACCCCCCCCCCAGGCTGAGGGGTGCCAGTGCGCTTGCGCCCCGCAGAGGACAGGGTTTGAGCAAGTTGCTGACCCTCTCTTCTTTGAACCTGTTTGATCACCTGAATTGTTACAAGGGTTAAAACAAAGTATGAGCCTATATGGAGACTTAAATGCTTTCCTTTTCACGATTACCCGGTAGGAGTTTCTTTGCTGTTTTGTTTGCCTAACTGTGGCATCCTAACTTTTCAGGCATTTTCCATTTACTCCCAGAACTAGGACAGAAACATAACAGATGGTCAAGAGGAATGGAAGAAACGTGACTTCCAAGTCTTGTATCTATTGTGGCAGAGGGTCTCTTAGCTGGACTCTTGAGCTTTGTCCCCCCCTAAACCTTACCGAGGGAACCCTTGGAAGATCTGCTTGTCAAAGAGGAGGGAGAAGGGAGAAGTGCAGGCACGTGAGTAGCTTCCGGTCTACATTCCATTCCTGTACATTTGCAGACTTAGACACATTCATCGGAGTTTCTCAGACTTTCCCACTTCACTCCTTCGCATTGTTAAGTATCATCAGATACCATCTAGGTAAAATCAAGGCAGTGCTTGATGTAACCCTGGCCTTACCATGTAAATCACTGAGCCTCCCATCTACCGGGGCTTCCAGAGCCTCCTGGGTTTACTTTGCACACTTGTGTTGCAGTTTGTCATCCTGCCAGTTCAAAAGCTCCTTTTGGCAAGAACTGTTTCTTGCATTCCTGGAATCCAGCCTGGAGATGAGGCAATAAATACTCGCAGAATGAATAAATGAAAGAATGAATTCGATTTCTCTGAAAAGCTAGACTTTTCGAGTTTACTCGAGTCCCCAAGATGTGAAATAAATATGCAAGCTTGTTAATTTCTGCAAAAAACAAACAAAACACACACACAAAAAGATAACCTGTTGGGATTTTTATTAGGATTGCATTGTAAACAGAGATCAATTTGAGAACTAACTTCTGAGCAATACTGAGTTTTTCAATCCATGGACATTGTTTATATCTACATTAGCTGAGGTCTTTACTTTCTTTCAGCAATATTTTGTAGTTTTTAGTGAACAAGTCTTGCGAGTACTTAGATTTATCCCTAAGTTGTTCATGCTTCTTATATCATTGTAAACTATATAAAATTTTTAGTTTCCAATTTTTCACTGCTATAGCAGTATACTTATTTTTGTATACTGACCTTCTATTCTGTGACCTTGCTAATATTCATTAACTCTAGTAGCTTTTTTGTAGATTCCTTGGGATTGTCTGCACAGTTACATCATCTATGAATAAGGGCAGTTTCACATCTTCCTTTCTAATACATATGCCTTTTTTCTTTCGTGCCTCATTGTAAAGACCTGAAGTAGATTTTGAATAGAAGTGGTGAGAATGGATATTCTTGTCCTGTTCCTGAAGTAGGGAGAACACCTCAGTCTTCCACCAGTGTGGTGTTAGCTGTAGGTTTTACTTAGATCTCTTTTACAAGGTTGATAAAATTCCCTTCTTTGCTTAGTTTGTTGAGAACTAATCATGAAAAGATACTGGATTTTATTATGTATTTTTTTCATATTCTATTGAGTGAGATGTTTTTTTCCTCTCTTCCTGTTTGTTAATTAGGTGAATTATATTCATTGATTTTCAAATGTTGAGCCAACCCTGTATTCCTGGAATAAACACTTAGATGTGATATATTATCCTTTTTATAATGCTGAGTTCAATTTGTCAATGTATTTTCACATCTATACTCATAGTTTTAAATTTTTTTAGATTTAAAAAATTGTAGCAAAATACACGTAATGTAAAACTTACCATTTTAACCATTTCTAAATGTACAGTTCAGTGGCATTAAGTACAGTCACATTGTTGTATAACCATCAGTACTATCCATCTCCAGAACTTTTTTTATCATCCCAAACTGAAACTGTGTACCCATTAAACACTAACTTCTCACTCTCCTCCCCTCAAACCCCTGGTGACTCTATTCTACTTTCTGATTACTGTAGATTCTACTGATATAAGTAGAATCATACAATATGTGCCCATTTGTGTCAGGCTTATTTCACTCAGTATGTCTTCAAGATGTATGCATGATGGTGCATGTCTTTTAACGGCTGAATACTAGTCTATTGTATATATATATATATCACATTTTGCTTATCCACCCATACATTAATGGACATTTAAGTTGTTTCCACCCTTTGGCTAGTGAAAACTGCTGCCATGAACATTAGTGTACAAATATCTGTTCAAGTCTCTGCTTTCAATTCTTTGGGGTACATACCTAGAAGTAGAATTGCTGGACCATATGGTAATTGTTTAAATTTTTGAGGAACTTCCCATACTGTTTTATACAGCAGCTGTGCCACTCTGCACTCTCACCAGCCGTGCACAAGGGTTACAGTTTCCCCACCTCATCACTAACACTTGTTATCATCTGTGTTTTGTTTTTGTAATAGCCATCTTAATGGGTATGGAACGGTGCTTATGGGTTTTTGCACTATGTTCACAAAGACAATGATCTGTAGTTTTCTTGCTTTTTCTTTTTTAATGAATTTAAGCATTTTGGACAATAAGTAAATAAAACAAATGAGAAGTTAGGATGTCCTGAGGTTTCTTGGCTGCAGAACTGGCCATATGGTGCAACAGAGAATCCTGGGGGAAGAGCATATTTTAAAGGAAGTAGTACCAAATAAATGATTTAATAGTGGGAAATTTGAGCTCACAAGGACTGTGGGCCATCCTGGTGTAGATATATAATTGACAATTGAGAAAACACTACTAAAGCTTGAGAAATGAGTCAGGACTAGAAACACGGGTAATGGTCTCATCTACCATTTACTGAGTGCCTTTTACATGTTTGGGAATTACCAGCCTAAGAGCAGTAGCTGAAATCACAGAAAGGCATGGCTTTTCCTGAGAGTGAGTGAAATTGAGAGGAGGGCCAAGAACAGAACCTTCCGAACCAAAATTTAAGGACTTGGCAGTAAAGAAATAGCCAACAGAGACTGAAAAATAGTAATGGAAAATATAAGTGATAGGAGGGACGAGTACCATGGAAATCAAAGTAGAACATGGTATCAAAAAAGAAGGGACTAATTCTCCAGTGTTTAAAGTAATTCCCATTTGATTTTCCTCTTCTCTGCTCAGCCAGTGAGCATGCACATCACTGTAATTAATTGTTATCTGTCCTTTGTAGTCAGAGCGGAATGAGATTAGTAGGGAGAACTGGATTAATAGAACTGAATTTATTCTAAATTAATAAATGTGTAGCGATAAGGCATGAACGTCCTTTTTGCTAATATAAATGTTTCAGATCTGACATCATAAATTAAGCCTGTTTCCTTTTCACCTGTAAAAAGTAAAGATTAAGATTTAAAAGTTTTGTCTAAATTTATCATTTTAACTAAAAAATACACCAGGATAAAACAAAACCCTTAACAGCCAGTGAGGTGTCTTAAAACATTTATTTTTAAAATCATAATAATGCACTATTATTTACTCACATATGTTCCTGTTTACCAGATATTTTCAGCAAACAGACATCTTTAAGCATCTTCGTCTGCTTTTATCAAACCTTCAAAGCGGATCCTGCTGCTGCTGCTGACAATCACAGCAGCCTGTTGGGGGTAAAGTACGAGGAGATAAAAATAACCATGTATTCCTCACAATTGACAATAAAACACCTGAGCGGGTAAAATGTGCATTGGTATGGCATCAATGAAGGCCAAAAGGGTGATATAATTTCCACACACTCTCCAAAATGAAGAATAATATAAACTTATCACATATGTATTAACTATTAATCAACTAACCAAATCTTTTGTATTATTTAAAACTTTCAAATTCTAGATTTTTTGGAACAGCTATTCAACTGATGAATACGTCTTTAAAATAGCAATTACATATGTGTAAACGCACGTGATGTTGGGAAAATGCAGGTGAGCATTTAATATGGTCAAGAATCTTATGAAATTAAGTGTTACTGGCTCAGCATAATTATTCCGAACGTAGAAAGAAAACAACAAATGACTTGTCATGTGTGTATAAGTGTTTTTCTCTCTCCATCCCTCAAAAACCTCTGAATTCAATCAATACCTTCTGATTGGCTTCTGTTTGAAGTCTGTAAGAGAAACAGAGATGTAGCAGGTGGTCCTTGCCTGCAAGCAGTTCACTCTGCAGAGGGGAAGCAGGCATCATCCACCCATACATCCATACGTGCAGACATACATCACAGCAGAGGAGGCAACGGGAGCCCCAGGGGCTGGGGGGTGTTGAAGATGTCGAAGTCCTCAGAGATCATTCTAGGTGTTAATGCTGGATTTAACCAATGGGAGTGAAGAGTGGGTGGTGGTGGTGGGAGGAAAGTCAGGTGGAGAGCACAGCACGAACGCCGTGTGCAAGGCAGCCAAGGGCATCTCAGAGAATCAGTGAGCAACGCATTGAAAAGGAGGCCACGTGCAGGTTTGCAGTGAAATGCAAAGGTCAGAGAAATGCAGTCGGATTGAGAGGTTCCTGGAGGTAGCACTAAGGCTTTTAGATTTTGTTGTGTGTATAAAGGAGCAATTACAGGTAAGAATATGGGCTGACATGCCCAGAGTTGTCTGAGGAAAGATGACTGCTACTCAGTGGATTTCTGGGGGAGACAGGTCAGCTATATAAAGTTATGTCACACTATTTTTTTTTCTAAGTTTGTGTTATACTTTAAGGCCTGTATAAACCTTTCCCAATTTTGAAATATGAGAAGTCAATTAAATCTAGAAAACAAAACAAAACCCAGTATTTTAAACCTATTTTTCCCCACATGGCATAAATGTAATGGCCCCCTTCAAGTATATACAATCTAAGATTCTAGAGTAAAAGCACTTCATCTTATCAAGAAATAGAAAGCAAGAGATGTGAAGGAAACTGACCCTAGTTATACCACCTTGTCAGTAGAACCCAAACTGATGACAGTCTTCAGAACCCACGCTGTCTTCCTTCCATGTTACCTGGCAGTTAGTAATAATGTATGTGAACTTGTTTGGTACTCATTTGTAAAGCATCTTGGTTTCACTGGGGAAGAGAATGGAATATTCCCTCCTCCCCCAATTTATTTTAAACCACAGGTATTAAAATTAAACATTTTTTTCCAGTGGAGGTCCTGAGGGGATCTATTTTCATTAACAAAGAACACACATAATTATTTCAATTGTTAGTAAATGGTGGGCTTAAAACTTTGAAAATGAAGAGCGATTTTTGTTTTACATTTAACACCTCCCTGAATGTTTACTTTTTATCAAAGTGATAAAAATGATGAAGACAAAACTGATTCATGTTGTATGCAACTGTAATTGACTTTTGTTGAGTACCTAACATCAAAGAAATGCTACTAATGAGTCAAGATCCATGTAAAAAACAAGACATAGTCCTACCACTAATCACTTATAATAAAATAGGATTTGGATCACTTGATAAAGACACATTATTTCTCACTAAAAGCAAATTTAGGAAATGTTATTTATTTAGATATATATGTTAAGTCACTTATAAAGAACAAATAACTATATAGTTAAAAAATATATATATATTTTCAATGATAAAAAATTATTTGGGAAGAGAAAAAAATGTGATTAAGCAAAAAAAACTTGGATGTTAAGTGTTATCAATACTGAACTGAAGATAAATAACACATATAGTAGTAGTACAATAAGTAAGTGAGATTGGAATGGTTGTCTTCTAGTATGGACACAAAATTACTAAAATTTTTATTCTTTTTTATTTACTGTTGATTATTTAGGAGAGGAGCAAAATTTCAAGTTGGTAAAACAAAGCAAAGTTCCAAAATAGATTAATGAATGTGATTTCCACTGGAAAAGAATAAATACAATGGGCTATATGTGCTGGATATAGAGGATTTGGTCAGAGTATGGAAGGTGTTAGTGTTCAAGCTAAAGCATGGTGACTCCATTCTAAAATTTATGCTAAGGACAATTCAAGTTAATTTAACATGTATGACAACAAAATCCCATAGAGACAAATCTGAACAATAACTGTCAGTGGTAATTAGATCTGTATTTTTGTCCTGGCTCTGCTACTAACTTATAAGCATGAACAAGTCTAAGTCTCTGGGCCTTAGTTTCCTAACATGTAAAGTGAAAGTGTTAAACTAGATGATCCCAGGGAGTCATTTCAGGTTAAAAACTCCAATTGTTCATGTTGAATCCACATACCAATGAAGAGTCTCAGTACTCAAGCAATGTTTTCACCCCAAGTCCCTCTAGAATAAAGCTAAATAAAAATTTTTATGGTCCAATTAGCATATAGTTCTTTTTATCCAGTCTTTACTTAAGTTTAAATAGTATAAAACATAAAAAAAAACAAAAACAAAAGTTCCCCAAGTGGTTCTAATGCTGAACACTTGGGAATTTAATTACATAACATTATTTTAAATGTATTTAACAACCCAACTCATACAGATCGACAAATGCAGCGGGACACGACACCGCCTGAAGATTACATGCACACTGTACAGAGAAACAGTAAGCAAATCAGTACATCACATTCAATGACATTTTATAGTACATTTCCCCTCTTCAATGGCAGTGATTATGCATTAGTGCAACCACAGAGCACTTGTAAACTTTTTGTTCAACAGCATCCATGTCCATAACTGTCTGGTCAGCCTCATGGTCTTTCTCGGGTCTGAGCTTTGTGAGTTTTCCTGTTTTGACAGTTACAGCCCCTACCCATAACTGTAGCCATCCATGCAGGCATGCCCACTGTCTGGTGCTGGGGAAGCAGGTGGTGTGTGGGTGACTCTGAAGAACTCTCTCATCTTTCTAAAATTAGAAAATGGATGTGATTCAGGGATTGGAGGAATGAGTAACTATATCATAGGTATTTTATACTCATCCCTTTTCGGCAGGAAGCTTTATCAAACTGAGTGAGATTCAGGCTGACAGCGTCAGTATGGTTTCTGAGTTCTCACTCTGTCGTTCTGGGGCCCTTAGTGTTAGGGAAGGGGAGACAAGAAAGGGTGCATGTCAGAACTGGCTGACTTACCCTCAGCCTTGCTTTAAAATGCCACCAAAAGGCTTATGATAACAACTTGCTTTTACAAAAAAGATCCATCCACCTGCTCTTTAATCAAATAAATTGGACTTTTAATATTTTGAAGTTTCTTAAGAGCTAGCAACAAATTCAAGTTGTAACAGGATATGCAACAAAATACTCTGTTTTCATCAAGATTCAGTCTGTGGCTGTCAGGAAGTCCTCAGCACGTGTGTGGAGTGCTGACCAGTTAACGCGGGTCTAACCTACCACGGGCACTGACAGAAAGCAGCTTCTTTCCTTCAAATCCAAACATCATACCAGCTTGATCTTTTTTCATCTTCCTGGCAAGAAAAGGTACATTAGCTTCCCTCAACACTAGGGAAATTCAAAGTGTTTACTCATGAATATTCATTCACCTCTCTTTAATTTACAGTATGTACACTTGAACAACAGAAAAGTGAATGATCAGACTTCTACTGGAAATACTGACGTGACAGGTTAAGTATGTCTTCATCGCTATGTAGGTGTGTATTCTTCCCCACTGCTACTGTCTACTTCAGTCTGGGTGCTGTCTCCCTCTGGCACTTGTCCTCTAAGCAGGCTCTTCAGCACAGAACAACACTCACAGGTCAGAGCTCCCAAGGTCAGTGGTCAGGATTGCATTCTTCTTTAGAAAAGGCTCTGCTGGGTCTCACTGGGTGGCCTGTGTGATCCAACCAGACTGCTTCTGAACAAAGAGGAGTCAACGAGAACTCGAGTTTCCAGAGAAAAATAAAGAGCTGCCCCCTATAAACCAGTCTCTGAAGAGTAAGGTGTCTTCCTAAAGAGGTAGAAATATAGGGGGATAATGTGTTGCAGATGCCCATATGTCAATGATACTGAACACTGTACCTTTAAGGGCTTAAAATGGACTGACTCCACTCATCTCTCTGATCTTTTCATAAGTAAGCCAGAACACCAGTGACCAAGGGGTCTGAAAGATTAACCAAAGAGTTAGTGCAAATTTCAAAGCAATTATGAACATTCTACATATATGCATATACATCTTTGAATGACAATGTCTTTTCGAATCCAACTAGGTGGAAAACAAATATTTTTATCGCGCCTTTGTAGAGCACTTTATAACTTACAAAGCATTTTAATGTCGTATATTTCTCACAGGACATTTTCATGTCACATATTTTCTCTGAACAATTTACAACTGATATCCGTTTTTACAGATGAGGACACCAAGGCTCAGCAGTCGAATGCCTATCACATGTTGTGGATCTAGACCACAGGCGTGGCCTCCGCTCCAGGGTTCTTTTCACTGCGCATCTCTGCCTGAAGGGCTGACTCAGCACGCCTGGATGCCAGGCTGGGCCCCTCTACACACAGTTTGCATTCGGAGCAGGACAAGGAGGCACTTAAGGACTTGAAAGTGAAGATGAAAGAATATCCTCTGAGAAGTCACAAAACCTACACCTAATGTATCACAAAATGGGTATAAAAATTCACATTAAATAGAGAAGAGCTTCCAGCTCATAAAGACTTGACTAACTTGATGAAGTTGTAACTCTGCCAAAAAATTTCATCTATGAGGATGAGGGTTATTTGACAACAGAAGACATAAATGCTAAAAACACAGGGAAATCGCAGAGTCAACACTGGAAGTAACCTTTGAAGAAAGGGTGTCTTGGACCCAAATCACATCTGGTTTGGTTCATAGGTGTTGGGTAATGTTGATCAGAGAAAAACTCTATCAAACTAGAGAAATAAGCTTAAGCAATAAGAATAGCAAATGTATTTGGTTAGAGAATTTGTAAAGCAATACATATGTCAGTGTGTTTGGAACTATTAAGCGTGTTATGTTGGTAGACTGAGAATTTACAAAAGAGCGGATTTACGAGATCATACCTGGGTCAACTAAATGTACGAAGATATAGATAAAATAAAGAATGTGAAGTTGTGATGATATTGTATTCTTGTGACAATAACAGGGAAATGAACCAAGAACATAACTGTAGTCGGATCAAGGAGCAGAGCTCTTAGTTAAGAATGGACTATTATTCCTAATTGCTCTGGTGATAAGACTTCTTCCTCATGTTAGTGACACAACCACCAAACTATATACAAATGAAATGTATATTAATCAGGGATTGAGCAAAGCAAGGTCATATTGTCTCTACTTAATGGAAGGGATTGGAAATGAATTTAGTTGGGTTTTGAATAAAGTTAAAGAGGGAGACCACATAGCCAGAAAACATGGATGGTCTATAACTGGGATACACTGAACCTCTGTGCAGGAGTGTACGGGGGTAGAACATATTTACTAGTTTCTTCCTCAAGAACAGTTGTACCACTGAAAATAATCCAAGTATACATGAGCACAGCTGTCTTCCCTGGCCCGCCTACTGCTGTAACTTGGGAAAACAGCAGAGCCCTTCTCCATGCCTTTTACTGGGGAGCTGAATACATAAGGGCTCTTGGGTTGATAGTCTTTAAGTATTAAGTTTACAAATGGCTCTTTCTTATTATTCTGTGTTCAGTAAGCAATTTTCGAATTGGAACGTGGCTCCTCCTATTGCTTGAATTTAGGAGGAAGCATGCTGTCTAGAGGACTTCAGCATCTGAATCACTTGCCAAGTGTGTTTCTCAGTGTGGCTGAGCTGATACTGTGGTTCGCCCAACAATTTCACTGAGTTCAGCTGAAGTGAATCTGTATTAGCAAGACCACTTTTCCTGGAAGTACTCAGGAGTCAGATTCCTAAGGTCAGGGTCATGCACTGGGGCATATCAACAGAGCAATGTCACCGTGGTGATCTTTGGTGGTTAGCCAGCCTTTCTCTGGTAACATCTCTCTATCACTACACAATTTCTCTTTTCTTTTAAAACGTCTATAACTAGCTGTAGGATAATGAGACACTCAGCATACTGCACTATTTAGGAGAATGGGTTTCAAGATGAAGTCAATTCCTAGCTCTGCCATATACTAGCTATATGAATTTGAGAAAGTTTCTTATACTCTGAGCTATGGTTGTCTCAAATGAAAAACGATACCACCACCTATTTTACAAATTCTTGTAAGACTTAAAAAAATAACTATAGCGAGGTTGGTTCAGAGGCTATCGCATATTAAGTACTCTTTTTTGTTATCTATATGCTCCCAGTATTTCTTTGTCCTTGGACGTTCGTCCTGCCCCCACTCCTCCTGACCCTGACCGCATGTTTCAGCAACGGTCTCACCCATCTTATAGTCTCCCATGGAGACTTACTTCTTACATTGGAAACCTAGAAGTCCCATTTCCTGTTTCCCTCCCTCACCTGCTACCTATAATTAGTGACTAAGTCCTGTGGAGTTAACCATAAATGTCCCAGGAATCCGTCTTCTCTCCATTTCTACAATCATCTGCTGACTATATCACTGTCAAAACTGCCTTTCTTGTATCTTAGCTTTCAATGAATCTCATACATTGCTGCCAAAGTAATCTTGTTCCCAAACAAATCTTAGTGTTTTCTAACTAAATAGAGCTTTGTGGTAATTTTGTGGTAATAAATATTAATGGGTAATGTAACATTTGGCATCAAAGTAACAATTTCTATTTGAAACAGTAGCATTTCATAGGAATGATCCCTAGTTATCAAATCAGTATACCTGTCCAAACCTGCAATGCTTCAGCTAAATAGACTGCTAAAGGCTTTACACTGCAGAAGAATCTATCCACTCTTTATAACAATAGAATATCAACCTATTAATTTATGGACATAACTGAATTATTTTACTTTAATCTACTGAAGAAGGTAATAGAACTCTGAGGAGAAGTAAAAGAAAAGAAATATATATAAAAAAAGAACTGTGGTTTGGGGTAGCACCATGCCACAAACCAGGAGAGAAAATGAAAAATATTTACAGATTAAAAGTAACTTAAGTACAAACAAAACGGAAACAAAGGAAGGCAAGACCTAACTAACTTTACCATTCGCAGCCAAGATGTTAGAAACCCTTTATACAGACTCATGAATCCTTCTCCTTGAACAGCCTGAATCAAGCAGTCGGTGGATGATTTATACAAAAGTCCCCTAAAAAGGAAACAAGACAATTTTGTTAAATTTCTTGTGTATATGTATAAATAAAATATAAATTAAAAATAGCCTAAGGAAACTTACTGTAAGTTAAATATTTTCTGCTAGTTTAGAACAAATACTATTTGTGGTTCTGTATACAGTAAGTCCTCACTTAATGTTGATAGGGTCTGTGACTTCAAGCAGAATGATGAATAACAAAACCAATTTTACCACAGGCTAATTGATAGAAACAAGAGTTAAATTCCTACAGCATCTCATTGACGTTATAAGGAAATAACGTTGAATGAAATGACATTATTTGAGGACCTGTTGTATATAGATCACCTCTTTTGAGTTTAAAGATATTTTCAAGGTTGACTCTTCTGATTAATCCCACCCTTGGTCTTATACTTAGAATTCACTCTACCTGATCTCTTCCAGAGAGAACATACTGTTTTATGTCAAATCAAATTCTCCATGTTACCTGTAAGTCATAAGCTTCTGAAGAAAGTACTCTGTAAATTCTCAGCAGAGTATGTTTTCAAAACCTCCTTGAAAACAATAAAGTCACAATAAATATCTTGTGTCTAAATAATATGATTGTTAAATTAGCTTATTTCCCCAAAGGCACAGTACTTTTGCATCAGACAAAGAGCAAGTAATTTCATAAAGACAATTTCCTGGTTGAACACATAAATACACAAATACATTTCTACCAAGAATAAACCAGGGAAACATCTTTAAAGAACAATGTTATTACAGACATTCAGACACATGAACACAGATAACTTTCCATCTACCTTCCTTGCTTATCTCGTGGTTGATTCATTATTCGGCTTTTGATGACATCAGCTGGTGTTCCCAGAATAGAAGCTACCAGTCCGGAACATAAACTAAAAATACAAATAAAAGAAATTGAATGAGCCCTGGTTGGTTTGGCTCAGCAATTAGAGCGCCAGCCCGTGGACCGGAGAGTCCCGGGTTCGGTTCCCACTAAGGGCACGTACCTTGGTTGTGGTTTGTTCCCGACCCTGGTTGGGGTCGTGTGGGTGGCAGCCACTCGATGTGTCTCTCTCACATCAATGTTTCTCTCTCTCTTCCCCCCCTTCTCCCTCCCTCTTTATTTGAAAATAAATGCAAAAATGTCCTCAGGTGAGGACAGAAAAAAAAAAAGAAATTGAATAATAATATGTAGCAGTCTCTAAATTTTAAGAAAAGGCAATTTAATATTTAGAAAGAATAGAATACTAAATAAATTACTATAATGCTCTTTTAGCTTAAAATCAATGCCAATTCATTAAAGAGGGAGACAAAAGAAAAGCAAAAGAATGTTGGCCAACTATACATTGAACCTGGAGGGGGGGGTGGGCACTCTTCTAGACAGTGAACATACAAGAGATCCTGCCCTCAAGGCACTTACACCCTGCTGGGGGGAGACAGAGGAGAGATGAATCCTCTCAGATGCGGGTAGTGCTATGAAGAACGATGGAGTAACGTGGCCGAGAGCCACGGTGACAGCAGAGGAGTGTCTGTGAAGGCCGGAGGGAGAGCGCTTGCAAGCAGGAGGGAGAGCACAGTGCAGCCCCGAGTCAGGAGTATTCGGTGTGTTAGAGGCCGAAAGCAACCGTGTGGCTGCAGCTTCCTGAAGGAGAGTCCGTCCAGGTGACAGACCGGAGCAGGCGCAGCTCAGCCCGTGAAGGCTCTTCATGGAGTTTGATTTTATTCTAGATAGTCTCTCCTTGCCCACTGTGCTCTAACAATATAACAAAGTGTATCTCTGTACGTACCACACTATCCAGCACCTCCATGTCTTTATTCCTTTCACGTGGAATGCCCTGTCCCATATAACTGGAAAATTCAAGGTCTGATGAGTTTCTGCTTATCCCTCTCCCTTTACCCAGCAAGGCTAATCACTCCTTCTTGTAAAAGGGCTTCTTGTCAATTACTCAAAAGAGACAAAATGAATGTGGTCAACCTACCACACAGAGTAAATCAAGAGTATGTACATGAGCAACTGAAAAGTGGACAAGTGTAGTGACTGCTGGGAGAGGGTGGTGGAGGCGGAAGAGGCCAGAGAAGGGATAAGTGGCGATGGAAAAAATGAAGTAAAAGAGAAACCACCATCAGTTCATTATGTGTATAGACATGAGAGAGATGATACAAGAAAATAATCAAAATTTCATAAACAGAAAACTCATTAACTGAAGTTTTCCAAGAGAAAGGCGTATGATGAGGAGAGGGGTTGGTCAACCTGGTCACAGAAAACAGAGGCCCAGGTCCCAGAAGTTGGCAGTTGAGTCCACAGACTGGGATCAGGGGAGCCCGAAGAACAGCTTATGTTTGCCTAATGGGAAGCTAGAAAGGAAAATTGTGTAAAGCTTTTTTTTTCCGGTAAGTGCCCCTAGTGGGAACTGAACCCGGGACTCTCTGGACCACAGTCCGACGCTTCACCCGCGGAGCCAAACCGGCCAGGGTGAAAATTGCGTAAAACTTTTATGTCCATCTGGCACATGAACTACCTCACAAAGATAAGGACGACTGAGATCTTTGAAGCCTCAAGGCTCTGTGGTAGGGAAGCTGGAGCTGCACCAGGGGCCTTCATACTGTCTCTTACTAGCTCTAACTGCTGTAGCAGAATGTACCCAGACTCTTTCTACCTGTTTCAGGTCAGGATTTAAAATTCAAAGGAAAGATTACTTTAGGCCTACTTGAATTCAAGAGAAGGAATCCATATAACCTATTTACACATTCCAGCTAATGACCTATCTGGATAAAATGTATTGTTTTGCCATATATATTCTAGCAATGCAGACTACAGCTTTTTTCACATTCTTTCCTGTTCAGATTCTCTGAAACTCCAAGTTCAATATCACTGATTTCAATATACCTCCATATTTTCACACAGAAGTGTCTCAACTAACACAAAATTCACCAAAGTTCTAAAACTCTCCACCAAAAAGCGCAAACAGAACTAATCAAGGTAAGGAAGAGCAAAGAAATAGGTGAGACAGATGCACAGCTTCCCTCTCTGCCCGAGCCTGGAAGGACACAGCACATCTTTACTTATTCATTTGCTGCAGAGAAGGCTGGGCGCCTGCTCAGTTACACATAAGTGGCAAGAGTGGAAACTACTTCTAACAGAGTTATTATTAATAAACTTGTTACAGCATGGGTAGCCCCTGTACTTGATTATTAGAGGATTTTTTTTACCAGCATATCAACCCCATCAAGAACCCCCTTCAGCAACTGCGGGCCCCACTCGGCATAAAGAGCCCTTAGCATGCTACTGCTGCTGCCTCACCCTCTTCTACCACACTGTTCTGAGGCCACAGTATGATCTGGCGAGATAAAGGCCTTTAAAAAATAAACACAAAAAGAGAGAAGATCATGTATTAAAAAGGCCCAAAGTCAAAATAAGAAGATAGAGCAGAAATAGGAACATCGATTTCGCCAAGCTACTTGTAATGGGCGTTGGTACTTTTGCTACTGACCTTTCCCATTCCTTGCTAGTAATATCCCAGAACCAGACCCAGGCCGCAGGGAAAGTGGTAATGCACAGAGTGTGACTGCACAAGGCTTCTGTTCTCTTCAGGAGACCAAAGGTTCTCGACAAGGCGAGTTTAAAATGTTTCATCAGTACTGTGTCTGAATGGACAATACTTGCCAGGATCGATTAATTAACCATGCTCGTGTATAATCTTCACACAACGGACACTGACCTTTTAACGGTTTTATCTCTTAATAGCCTCAGGGATTTACAAAAAGGAAAAGAGGTTATCCTGGTCTTTCTGGTCTATACAATTTCCTGACCATTCATTCAACTGCCAGCTTTTCTCTGCTTCCCCTATTAGCATACCTGTCACCGGCTTCCACCTCATTAAACCCTGGCCACAGTCTTCTACTGCTCCTGCCCTGCCCCAGGACTTCATTTTACTTATACCATTTTAAAAAATTGTGCTGAAGTATACCTAACATACAATTTGCCATTTTCACCATGTTTAAGTGTGTAGTTCAGGCTTACATTTCTTCTCCCCTCCCCCCCACTTCTCCATATTAAACTCCTTTCTCCCCAGATGTCGATGGCTTGCATAAAGCTCCCTGACTGTACAGCTACCATCCCCTTTGGGCCCCTGTGAGCACTCATTTTATCCTGACAGAGCGTCCACAACCTTCAGACCACATAGCACTCTCTACCTTCTTAGATTTGAGGTCACAGTAAGCAACCTTTGAGCTGCCTCGCATACCACACATACTCATACCAACCCATTTAAAAGCCTGACCCAGTGGGTGGAACTCAAAAACGAAACAAATACCAATCACCCATTTTCTCAAAACCTAAATTAGAGAAGAATAAGCTAGGTTATTTCATATTAGAGCTGAAATATATATAGCTGGAAATCTTAAATCTTTCCAAAAAAGGACATTATCTGGGAGTTGGAGTAGTATACATGAAGCAGATTTACTCCTGCTGGGAAATCCAGGAATCTTAGGTTATTTAGAAGTGTGGGATTTCAAGGATCATTTACGTAGAAAGACAATATGAAAGAAACAGAGATGATATATCACTGTGGGACTTTCAGACAGACCTGAATAACCTGCTCCCAGAGTAAGCATAACACTGGAACAGACAAGAATCTTGAAAGATGAGGTAAGTCTCACGATAACTCAACCAGGTAGAAACTGGTGAAGAAAGTCTCACAGGCAGAGGGGACAGCAGGCACACTGATAGTGGAAGAATGAAAGTAAGGGTGACTGCAGATAAAATACATATGTTTATAGGGATGGAGGTAAAAGTGGAAGCAGCCCTAAATCTTCAGTTTTCTGGGAAAGAGGAGGCCTTACTATTGGTAGAGAAGGTATGGTGTAGATTGTGAACACAGCTGGGTGAGAGTTTGGAATAGGAAAAAACAGTGAGCTAAGACATAAAAGGACTGCCCTAGCAACACGAAAGATAACGCTTAGTTTAAGTGGAGGAATGAAGAACACTACCCTAGGAATATTTAGTTCAGGTGAACCTGGATTAGGAATCATTTATATCTATGTATCTCCAAATACCATTGGTTTGACATTATTAATATATTTTTAGGGTTGTCTAAATAGAATAAAAGGTTCTAGAATTTGGAAACAAGATCAGGAGCTCAATAAAAATCATTATAATGTTAAGGACACCAACATCTACAAAATAACTCACTCTAACGGGTATTTGAAACTGTGTTGCAAAGAGATTAAGGTACATACTACTCTTTCCTGGAGTGCTCTTCTTGTCTCCTCTATCAAGAGCCACAGCCCTTTAAAACATGTATCTAATTCTATTCTTTTGTAGGCCCTTCCAAGTGTTTATTTTTTTTTTCCCTCCTCTGAACTCTATAGTCCTTTTTTTTTTTTTTTTTTTTTTTACCATTTACAATACTTGTTTTCGTTTGGGTAAACTCCCTGGGAAGGAGCTAGGTTTACCTTTTGTACTGACTACAAGGGCCTGCACTATGCCTAACATAGAAGATGATCAAACATATCTGCTCAATTGAGATGGAGGGTCAATCATCAGAAACTGACCCTGAAAGGGTCCCATCAAGGTACAACTTTTGGGGAGGTTTAATCTGAAACATTCTACAACTCTGTCTCTGTCTTCTCCATTTTAACTGAAATAAACTTTAAGGAAACTGCTCTTTATAAATGTACTATCACCTTTCTCTAAGTGTGATATCTCTAGATTCCCAATCAAAAGAGATAAAATGTTAGAGTGTATGCCAAATATGAAAAAAAGGGTGATCTAGAGAAAAAAAATAAGAGTCTAAAACTAAAACAACCACTTACCTAGATAAACTGTGAGTCATAATATTGTCCTCAAGTGCTGTATTCAATACCAAGTAGTGTTTCACTGTATCATAAGTGGTTAAATCTGGCAACAGAAAGAAAAACAAGGCTTAAATACTTATTTATTCAACAATGAATGTCTGTTGAACCTTAGAGGAAGCTGTGGGGCAGAGAGACCTTAGAAATAATTTGGTCTTACATCTTTATTGTCACAATTTGCTTATTTTTGGAAATCCTTTTCACATGTCACCATACAAAAAAGTGAAAATGCTCTAGGGAAAATATTCAATTATGATATTATAACATAAAGGAAGACTGTTGCCAATATATTATTAAAAATAACATTTTTTATTTTCCCTGAGATGAATACTTGTAATGATTAAGGCTATCATGCTTCTCAGAATTCAATGAAGTTTCCATTACCTCCCATATTCACCAGCGCTGCTCTTTGTATATTGGGTACCCAGCCTGCCCAAAGCCCACGTATTCCTCCTTCAGCTAAGATTTTTGCAAATGCATGATGCACACCACGGAATCTAAAGGAAAATAATAATGAAATGTAAAAACTGCCTGCATTCCTTTGTATAGAATGCAACGGAATTAGCTTGACCTATAGTTGTTATCATCTGGAGTAAAATAATATCTTAATTATCCAGAATTGTTAGAAATTAAAGCAATTCACATAAGTCTAATTTCCAGATAAACTTAATAATCCTTTAGAAAAAGGGCCGATATTTAATTAAACATTTTAAATGGAAATCTTTATAAACTGTGTCATCCTCTTCTCAGATTTTTTAACAGGTTAAAATTCCTTTGTGAATATTTTAAATAATCTGTGCACATTTAATTAGAGGAGTGAACAGTAGTTATCATACCTCTGGGTTCATTTTACTTTGTGGGAGACCGGCAAATTTTGTAATTTCACCAAATGACAACATTGATCCTTACATAATCTCATAAAATAAATATTTTTAGGCCAACAAGTAGGAAGGATAGCCTCATCATAAGAGGTTTTAAAATATAATACTTAGGCTTTATCAAAATTTACTATTTTATTCTTATTTTGCTGTACACAGATAAAAAATGGTACTGAATCATGAACCAAATCTGGAAAAACCTCTGTTATAAAGTAAAGATTTTATAGAGTTGAAAATACCTGGAGTCAAATGCTACCTTTACCACTTACTACTTGTGTGGCTTTTACTCCGGCCTTACACTCTCTGAGTCTCATCAAAAAAATAATATGACATTTACTCGGCATGCATAATTGCTATGATACTACGTGGGGAGTTATGCTCATGAATGGTCAATGTAGCTAAAATTTATTGTGCACTTATAAGCACCAGGTACATTTTATTTCTGAAAACTGTTAAGTGTGTATTATCATTCCAGTTTACATCTGAGAAAACTGAGGCTTGGAGAGGTTAAGGAACCTGACGAGGGTTTCAGAGTTAAAGTGAGGTAAAGCCTGGATCTGGATCCCAGGTTGTCTGATCCATCCCAACATTCATATTCTTCATAACAACACTTAATGTGTTTTTATTACTACAGCAAACCAAAAATTTCCAACATTAAAGACGAGAGGGAAAAAATTTGAGGCAATCAGTTAAAAACTCAGATATTTCTGAATCCCAATAGTCAGGTCTCTCCCTGTATCCAATCAAGACCACATCACTTCTCCCTACTACTGAGTAATCAGACGTTGCTGCCCGATGACAACAGGCCCTGGGATTCTGTGAACTGCCTGATTAAATCAGAGTGGTTCCCCTTTCTCCTCGGTCGTGCATGTTCTTTTCCTGCCTGGAAGGCCAAAGGGGAGCCTGGCTGCCTCACCCAGCCTCATTTTCCACTGAGTCAGCCCGCGGAGCGGCAGAGCAAAGAGCAGCGGTCAGGAACTCCCAAAGGAGCCCGCAAACCCTCCTTCACCTCTGGCTCAGCTGCAGATGATCAGACCCCTTCATACTCGGCTCAAGGCGTCCTGGACTTTTCCTCTTTTCTGGGAGGAGTCTACCTATCTGCAAGATTTTTCCCAGGGAAACTGGTAAACAGTATTTTTATAAATTGTTGAACATGAAGCCCTTGGAAGAAAGGCAGACTTCGATAATACAGGGTAATGCAATAGGAGAATCTTATACCACAAAGGCATGATTTTAAAACTTCCTTAAACTTGGTAAAAAGAAGAGGAGCAGAACTAGTCAGGGAAGTGGGAAGCATATGCAAGGTCCACTTTGCTGTTTCCCCACTTGCGGGGAGAAAGGGAAGGAACCTATGAGCCCGGCAGTCTAACTGTCATGCAAACCTTCTGAGATGACCCTAGAGAAACAGAGACTGGAAATGTTAAGTGACTTCTCCAACACCAAGCCATGGTGGCAAAACTGGATTCATAGCAGGGCAAACCTTAATGACCAAACTCTTTCTATAGCTGCCTTGGCTGGAAAAGGCAGCAAACACATAATTTGTCCGGTACAGATCATGTACACCTTATCATACAAAGATCCATCTTAGCGCTCCTCTTAATGGATACAACTTCCAAATTAAAAGAGTCAGAATTAATGTCTTTACTGATGCTGAATTACAAAGATGCATATATCCATCAGGTAAGTGTTCAAAATACGATGGTGGGCCTTGGCTGGTTTTGCTCAGTGGTTAGAGCATTGGCTCGTGGACCAGAGTCCCGGGTTCGGTTTCCGCTAAGGGCACGTACCTCGGTTGTAGTTTGTCCATGGCCCTGGTTGGGCTGTGCGGGTGGCAACCACTCAATGTGTCCCTTTCACGTCAATGTTTCCCTCTCTCTCTTTCTCCCTCTCTCCCTTCCACTCTGTCTGAAGATAAATGCAAAAATGTTCTCAGGTGAGGATAAAAAACAAAACAAAACAAAACAAAACAAAATATGATGGTGGCTAAAGGGGTCAAGAAAGGTGCCAGTTAATCAGAGAACTTACCGTGGTGGTTTTCCTTCGAGTTTCCTTTTGCCTTCCATCTGCATCTGAACCTTCACTAGGTCTGTTGGGTTGGCCAAAAACTGGCCAACCACACCAGCTATCATCCCTCCAAGCACTGATTTCCTAATTATAAAAGGAGATACATTTTTAAAGGTTACCATTAATTTCATAAATTTTGTAGTGAACAATACTAGGCTGGTACGGTCCTTGCATGAGATTTAAGACAAAGCAAGAAACAGACCCAAACAAATCAGAGGGAATTAGATGGTTTGTCTGTTCACAGACAGAGAGGTTAAAGGACCACAAGGAGTTGAAATTCGAAGCTGACGTTTCAGAGGCCTTACGTGGCCTGAAATTCAAAGGAAGGGCAGTTGCTTCAGAGACACAAACATCTGAACTGATCATTTAATTGAAGTTTAATTCTCACCACCAGAGAATAAAAACAGCACAGATGTAATTGGTATAACAGACAAAGGCTGGTAAGTCAAATTTTGTAAACCTCTGAATTACTAGTTTACCAAACTGAGGAGGGTTTGAAAACGTTCTGCTCTCTGAAGAAACTCTTTCTGTCCTAGACTATTCCTTCTCATCACCTCCCAGAGCCAACGGCAATCAAGTCTGAGCTACTGTACTTCCACATGCTTTGACTCTACCCTCTTCTCTCCAGCTGCTCCTGCTCAGGCCGGGCCCCAAATACCTTTTTCTAGATTCTTGCAAGAGTATCTTGAGGGAAAGGGGGTATTTCCTTTCCTTTTACTCTGATATTTGAAGAGGTACAAATGGGTATACAGTAAAATTGGGTCCCTATTCCCAGTTCCCCTTCTGAGGCAGTCACAATGACTAGTTTCTGAGGCCTTTCTAGAGACAATAATTACACATTCACTGAATGCTTATTAGCAGCTACTATTTTATGCATTTAAAAAATATCTAATTCTCACATCAACTCTATAACTGTTATTTCCTCTGTACAGATGTGGAAACTGAGGCATAAAGCAGTTAAATGACAGCGTCAATAGCACCACTAGTGAATGGTACAGCCAAGGTGTAATTCCACAGTCTGTGCGCAGAGCCTACAGTCTTAAGTGCTAAGTTACAATGGACAGTTTGTGCACAAACATACACACACATATATATAAATATTCCTTTTTAAAAGCACACATGTAGAATACTAGGTTGTATACTGTTCTGCACTATTTTTTTCCTAATGTATATCTGAAAGGTTATCCCTATCAGTTAATAAAAGAGCTTCCTCATTTAAAAAAATAGTCTCATAGCATTCCATTGTATAGATACACCATAATTCATATACCCATCATAACTTTTCACAAAGAAATCTGAACATTCACGTGGCATTTGATAGATCCTGCCAGATTGTTTACCAAAGGGCTTGTGTTAATTCACACTCCCACCGACAGCCTGAGAGTCATTTCTCCCCACAATGATGAACGCAGTGCAATATCATTGTTTTTCTCTTTGCAAATCTCATAACCATTATCTCTTCTATAACTGTTATATAATTCTAACTGTCTCTTATTACTGTGAGATCAGTGATGGCAGGATATGTCTTTTTCATTACTACAATCTCAGCATCAAATTCAAGACTGGCATACCATAAACATTCAATAAATACACGTTTACTGAATGAATTGTTCTGATTGTGTCAAATGACATCATGCTAATACACACTGAGCGCTGACGTTATAGTGAAATATGTCTTTTGAACTTCTTATTTATACCTTCCCCTTCTGCAGGGAATTAGAAAATGCAAAAACTGTTCATCTATTCCATCACTAACACTGGGAAAGCAATTAGTATAGCATAGTACATTATGCTTTTTCAGAAACAAAGCCAAGAGATTTTACTGGAAGGTGAAATTCTGCTTAACTCATTCTTTCAAAGCTATGTTATGTTTAAATATATCATAATATATAAATATATCATAAACATATGTAAAATCATACTTTGTTTACTTCCAAATTATTAGTTATTTAAATTTTTAAAAATTGCTGTTATCAACACTGCTACAATTAATACCGGTGTGTGTGTCTTTATGCACAGGTACAGTATTCTGTAATGATTATAATCATAAATAAACAGTTGCTGAATCAAAGGAGTACACATTTAAAAATCTTAACAGGTATTTTATGCTCTAAAAAGTAACTTACATTTCCATTAACAGTTCAATGGCTAAAAGATAGTTTTAATTAATTTCCCTGATTACTTGTAAGTTTGAACATTAATGAACACATATATCTCTTCTTTTGTGAACGGCTTGTTCATATCCTTTCCCTATTTTTCCTTTGTGCTCTTTATGTATTTTATTGATTTATAGTTTTATGTATATTATTTATAATAATCTCCCGGTTTCCGTTATAAATATTATAAGTGATATGAACCTTACACTCATCAGCTCATCTCATCCTATGAAAAGAAAGCCTGCTGGTAGGTATTACTACTTCTATGGCTGAGGAAACTGAAGACATAAGGTGAAGTAGTTTGCCCAGGCACACTTGGCAGAGCAGGAATCTGAGCCCACCTCTGTCTGATTCTAAAGCCCAGGATTTCTCAGTAGAAAAACAAACAAAGAAGATGCTCTAGCCTTGGCCAGTTTGGCTCAGTGGTTAGAGTGGTGGCCCACAGAGCTGGTTAGGTAGCCTGGGGGACGAAGGCAAAAAGCACCTGCTCTGCATTTCCTCTCCTGCCGGAGTTGGACTGGACGGTCATCCTTGCTTGTGTTCCTTTAGAGCAGCCTGGTTCCAACGCATGGGGCAGAGACTGTCAAATGGATTTTAATTTTCAAAGAATATAAAAATGTAAAATTTTGTGCTTCAGGGTTCTAAAGTGGGGAGGAAATCAGTCAATGTGTCTCTCTCACATCGATGTCTCTCTCTTTCTCTCTCCCTTCCTCCCATTCTAGTTGATGATAAACGGAAAAATATCCTCTGGTGAGGGTTAAAAAAAAGATGCTCTATAACAATTTTTAAATATTAAAATATTAATATACACACAATTTTATATACATATATACATTTGTATACAATGTGTAGTAAATGCTTAATTATTTGGATTTACATTGTCAGTATTTATTATTTTAAGCCTGTAACGTGGCAATTTTGGTATACAAATGCACACTTTTATATAACGCTAATGAATAAAATGTTAAAGCCTTAGGGGCAATTATTATTTTCAAAACACAACTTACCAAAGGGGATACTGCTTATCTTCACTTTTGAGAAACACAACTTCACGGAGATATTCATATGTGACCATTCTACCTCCAGAGTACACTGTGCAAAAGAGATTAAGAAAAAGGTGGATTCAGCTACGTTTACTAAAGTAAGAGGACACTCTGACCTGGCCTGGCCCATCTCCGCAGCTGGGACTTGATGCTTCTCCACACCTGGCATGCCTCTTTCAGCCTCAGGCCTTCTCACATGCTGTCTGATCTTTCGTGAATGGATTCTCCCTTCTCTGCTCTGCTAACTCCTCTTAGTCTTCAAAATTCAATGCAGGGAACCACTTTTCCAGAAAGCACTCTCTGACCTTTCCTCCAGTGTTCTAGGCTGTCATGGCACCTGCCACGCTTCCCGTTCCCACAGAACTACACCGGCACACATCTAAGACAGCACGTATCATTGACTAGAGATTACCTTGATTTTCTTGCTCACCTTTTCATCAGACCATGAGCTTTTCAAGGTAGGTTTTCATTACTCTACATGCCCTAGTACACTGCTTGGTAAACAGTGGGCAATTTCATTCTATAAATATACATAATTTTAATGGAAAATCTATTATAGTACAGCAATTTTTCAATTAAGTGTCAAAAATGTGAAACTAAGCTAAATTGTAAAACTATGTATGGTGGTCAAAAAAAATACAAATGAAAAGGAGTAAAATTCAAAACAATGAGAAGCAAAGCAGAAAATATAAAAAAAGGATGGAAAAATCATTAAAACCAGTACATGATAGTTATATAGGGAGTTTTTCTTGATCTTTCAGGAAGTTTGAAGAACTATTTCAGGATATTAAAAAATATACAAAGCACCAAAACAATAATCGTCTCTATGTACTTCTAGATAGTTCTTGATGAATACACTCTAACACTCATCTGAAGCTTTAAAAATAATAAGATGGTTGTTGTTACTGGGCAGTTTTCTGATCAAGGGTCCCTTCATAGTTGAGGAGACATTATGATTGTAGAGTAGAAAAATGCCATACCTGTCCAACTACGCTTTGAAGCCAAGTTTATGTTCCCCTGTCCACAAGCTGAGAACTCAACAACTCCTGTCTTGTGAATGTCACTTGGGAAGCAGGGCAGAAAAGAGCTCTCATTGGCTGTAGTGTGCTTACAACTGTTTTTCTTTAGGTGTGACTAAAGGCCCACAGAGCTGGTTAGGTAGCCTGGGGGACGAGGGCAAAAAGCACCTGCTCTGCATTTCCTCTCCTGCCGGAGTTGGATTGGACAGTCATCCTTGCTCGTGTTCCTTCAGAGCAGCCTGGTTCTAAGGCATGGGGCAGAGACTGTCAAATGGATTTTAATTTTCAAAGAATATAAAAACGTAAAATTTTGTGCTTCAAGTTTCTGAAGTGGGGAAGAACACAAACAATGCATTTTTTTTCTTTCTTTTTTTAATCCTCATCCGAGGACACTCTCTCTGTATTTTGTTCAGATGGAGTGGGAGGGAGAGAGAGAGAAACTTCGACATGAAAGAGACACATCGAGTGGTTGCCACCCACACGACCCAACCAGGGCCGGGGACAAACTGCAACCGAGGTCCGTGCCCGTAGTGGGAACCAAACCCAGGTCTCTCCAGACTGCAGGCCGACGCTCTAACCGCTGAGCCAAACCGGCCAGGGCTCTTTCTTAAAACTTGAAAAAAAATTTTATTAGGAAAATTTTGAAACATACAGAGAAGTAGAGAAAATAATATACAATTCTCTCAATAGCTATTAAGATTTGTCAATTGATCACATTTTTGGTATATTTACTTTGGTTTTTGTTTTGTTTTTTGCTTGTTTTAAAGTATATTCCAGATATCATGACAGTTCATCCCTAAATACTTCTATATATGCATTTCTAAAAAATTAAGGCAGTAATGCCTCAATAACAATTGGTAGTTAATATTCTTCTTCTTAGGAGACTATATATTCATTTATCACATTAGTAGAAAAAACTAACTCTTTTTTGGATACAGCTAAACAGGAAAGCAGAGATAAACACAGAAATCATAACAAACTTACCAGCCAGAATCAAGATAAATACCTACGTGTCTGTAAATGGCGGGTGTCACTCCTCGCCAAAGCTTTAGAAAGCCTTCCTCCTGGACAATCCCTCGGGCTGTACGCACCATGCCCCTATAGGGAGTTGATTCTCTTGTGCTTTCTCCCAATCGAGCCAGGGCAGCTTCTCCTTGCATCTGGAGTCGAGTTTTTGTGAGATCAAGGGGAAAGGTTGCTAACAAGAAAAAACAAAACGAAGGGGAAACCCACAATATTCAGAGAAACAAACAAAAACTCTAACATCATAGGACTAATAGTCACAAGATTGGTGGTTCTCAAGCAGAATCAGCTAGGAAAATTGTTAAAAATTACAGATTTCCTAGCTCCATACCTGTGGATTCTCGGTAGGTTGATGGGAGGTTAGAAACCAGTTGATGTTATGTACTCCCCAATTTATAAATCACTGTACCAGAGCACGTTCAAATCACCAGGGGGAAAAAGTGGCAAGCCTCGGGTTCTTTTTATTTAGAAATTTCAGTCTAAAATCTATTTTTGACCTTAGTTTTGGCTTTCTAATGGGAATAATTTCAGGTATCCATATTCTGTGATGTCCTCTTGACTACAATAATAATTAAGATCTCATGTGACTTTCAGAATACTGTACTACTTATGCTGGGTTCTTAAATGCCAGATGAAGCTGAATTCTATAATTTCATGGGTGATGCTCACATGCAGATGAATCACTAACCTGTTGTTTCAGATACAGAAGATGCACTAAGGAGTTTATAATGTCATCTCTTATATATGAGGGTGGCATGCTCATAGTCCTATTAAAGGACATATTGTTTTTCCAGCACTGACAAGGTTTATGCACGGCCTCCTTACAAGTATCAACTGTACCTGAAAATTATTCTCTGATGATTACATTTTGAATTAGAGATAGACCTTTCACCTTGAAACAGTGTGACACTAGCCCACAATAGGAAGATCAAGCTCCTAACTTTATATACACAATGTTCCAAATAACTGAGATACTCAGATTCAGATCAGTTCATGAACATCTATTAATATCATAGAAGTCTTTTCAAAGACTATCACCTGATACAAAACCATAGCTATACCTTTTCCAAGAGAAAACGGAGTAGAAGAGAGTATTAAACCTTCCCACTGGTCTTTGGAAAAGTTTATATCTTGCTGATAGTTTCTCTAAAACAGAAGTAGTTTACATATAAAGAATTCAAGCAATGCTTTACTGCAACATGAAACCTGAAAAGTCTTAAGATACAAGAGCCTCGATATGAACATAGTCTATGCCTCTCAAAATAAATGTTTTTTCTTGCTGGTTAAATAATGCTTCAGATTCCGATCCTAAACTGTTTTGCACTCAAAACCCATTTCATGTTTTGATTCTCCCTGTCTCCCACCCCAACCTCCTCACAATTCTCCATGAATTTTTAACTGAAGAAATGTTCCTTTACAGAAGCCATTGGTCACAGGGGGAAACATCAGTTAAAACAAAACAAAACAAAACAAAACAAAAAAACACCAAATGGGATATATATCTAATCATTCAGCAATCTGCTTTTAAATTTTTTTTAAAAGTTGATCAATTGTATTTCAATAAAAATGATGAATAACAGTAATTCTCTGTCAGTTTTGGGAGGACAGAGGGTCCAAAGGGCATGAGTGGAGGGAGCACAAAGGGCAAAACAACAGATCTCAAGCTGGCTCCGCCGAAATACTAAATAAACTCATTTGAGAACAGGACAAACATTTACAAATGATAGCACATCAGAGCTGTTGCTTTGTGTTTGTTTGTTTGAAATGGGCAAGAAAATGAAAGGGTAATCTTAAAATGTACGGTGAAGGCGTCACAGGGAACATGTAGGCACTACTCACGAAATTCTTGGAAGAAACACCACCTGCTCATGTGAGGGCATTCTGCTCTGGGTGGCCTCTCACGTTTTCTGACTTGCTTACGCAGATGTACCTGTTCGTCTCTATGCTCTTATGATACTTAATAATACCTTCATTATAATAATGAATGTCTCCTCACCAGCCTGTAAGATCAAGGCTGGGTCTTTTTAACTATATCTCCACAGTCTCTAGCATTGCAGTAGTTATAATAATATCACGATTATTGGGGATCCTGCCTTGGATTTAGCATTTATATATTATTGACTTCTCAGAATCCTGCAAGGTAAACACAGTATAGACGAGTTAAGCTCAAAGTGGTCAACTGGCAGATGCTGAGTACATGCTCAGGAAGTGTGATAGGTTCATAACTTCAGTCCCACAGGTTGGTTCCACAATTGGGGCTCAAAAGACGATGCCGTGAGGCTGTGTAAGAATATAAACCACGAAGATGATTTCAAGGATGAACAGGGGGCTGTGTTTTTCAAAAGGTGATCCTCACTAAAGGGAAAAGGATTCCTAGAGGAATGACAGCTCGTGAAGCCTCTACACGTGCACGTTTGGGCACAGTGGCACACCTCTGAGGAAGACGAAACTGGAAGGCAAAGACCTTAGTGACCTCCAATCCCTCCTCACACAGAGCTGGCCTTGCCCACACCCTGCCACACCTGCCGGACACGTGCGGAAGGACAGGGCGCAACCTGGCGGGCCGCACGCACCCGGGAACCTAGCCGCCCGCGGGCCCGCCCCTCCCCCCTCCGCCCCTGCCTCCTGCCCAGGGTGACGCCTCAACGACCCGCTGGAGAGGCCCAGGCGTGGGCGGCCGGGTACCTAGCTCGGCCACCGTGGCCGCGCAGCCGGACAGTAGGAACTTGCTCGCTCGGGGCCATCTCTGGGCGAGCGGCAAAAGCCTCTTCTCATCCTCTGGGACCGACATTCAGCAGCAGGACAGGACGACAATGCACCCCTTCTGGCCGGCGCCCCGCGCCGCGGCTAGCGTGCCACCCTGCCAGGGCGGCCCCTTCTCAACCGACACAGGGCACGGCGGAGACCGTGTCCCTCGCGCGGCTCGGCCCGGCGACCCCACAGCCTTCCTAGCAGCTCCAGGATGGAGTGGTCCAGGGGACTGAGCGCAGAAAAACAACGCCAAGTCCGCGAGGCTTCTGGGAAATGTAGTCCTCCGGCCTCTGCGCCTCTCGGGCCACTTGCTCCGATTGGCCGCAAGCGAGGCGGTCGCTGCGTCCCCGCCCCCGGTCTCCATGGCAACGGCGCGTGTTCTTCCCTCCTTGCCCCTCCGACCCCGCCCTCCGACCTCGGCCCAGCCCCAGCATAAGGTCCCGGTTGGCCAAGACTTGGAAGAGAAGTGGGTGGGTGCGGTAATGCAAAAATCATCTAAATATTGGGGCGGGGAGAGGCGGCTACTGTTAGCAAGGCGAAGAAAGCTGCCAAAGGTGCGGCAAAAAAGATTGCGAGGTCCGGTAGGTGCTCTTTATCCCAGAGGGGAGGAACGAGCGCCATGGTAGCAGGACTTTTCCTTCTCTGATTTTGGAAGGTGTTAGACAGAATCATGGAACTGATTTTCCCATCAGTGATTATAATCCTAGGTTGCGTTGCTCTTTTGTTACTCCTTCAGTGGAAGAACTTGAGTGGACCCCCGTGCATAAGGGGCTGGATTCCTTGGATTGGAGCTGCATTTGAGTTTGGGAAAGCCCCTCTAGAATTTATAGAGAAAGCAAGAATCAAGGTATGTGGCCTTAGCAGGTGGGGTTTCCGGAGAAGGTAATGTTTTCTTTTTTATTTTCTTTCATTGGATCTCAAATGTAATGTTCGAACACGGGAACGTGCCTACTGCCCTCAAGAAAATGATCTAGTCATTTATGAATTTCTCAAACTACTGTGTCTTATGCAAGGTTTTGGAAAAGAAATGGCATTATGAGTGCTAGTTACTTCATCATCAAAATATCCTGTGTATACATATTAAGTAAATGCTTGCAATAATTGGGAAAGACAATGTGATTTCAATTTATGAAAATACATAACAAATTAGTATCCAAGTCGTAGTTAACTGCAGGCTGTTGTAAAAATTGCTTGCAAACTTGGTCATGACAAATTTTGCCTGCCTTGTATTTTCAGCTGGTGTGAGGAAATTCATCTTCACTGGACACTAAGGACGTTAGTAATGGTTGTTGTAGCAGATGTTTTTGTCTTTAAAATGTCTTTCAAATATAGCATATCTTGCAAAAAGAGTATGTAAAATACTGCCAACTTTTTTCTTTATTTCAACCAATGCTTCACTGGACGTGCTCCTGTGTATGTATATGTATTGTGTGATTGTGCTTGTTGCACTTAGCTGATTGTTTCCTCTGCATAAATTCTTAAAAATGGAAGTGCCCAAAGAACATGAATATTTAAATTGCTTATGTTACTGTGTTACCCTTGCAAAAGGATTTAACAATATGCACTTTTTCTTTTGCGTGTAGGTAAGGGATTGCCTAGCTCTTCATATCCTGGCCCACACGGGGAACCATAATTCTTGCTAGTCTGACAGATGCAAAACAATATCTTTAAAAGAAGTTCTCCTTTGGCTCCCATAGCCTTCCTTAGGAATATGATTTTGATAATGTTTAGGGAATGTTTTTACAAGCTTGTCTGAGAAGGTCAAGCAAGGTCACAAAGATTATTCTGTTTTCTTCTAAAAGTTTATAGTTTTGCATTTTACATTTTGGTCTATGATCAACTTTGATTAAATTTTTTTGTGTGGTGTAAATGAGGGGTGAGGTTCATTTTTTTCCCCCTATCTGGATGTACAGTTGTTCCAGTGTCATTTCTTGAAGACTTACCTTTCATTGCATTGCTTTTGCAGTTTTTCATAAATTAGTTGACTGTATATGTGTAGATCTGTTTATAGCTTTTCTATCCTATTCCATTGATTTATACAACCATTCCTTTGTGAACATTACATTTTTTTAAACACTGTCGTTTTATAGTAAGTCTTTAAATCAGGTAGTGAAATTTCTCTACATAATGGTTTTTTTTTTTTGGTAATTGCCTTGACATTCAAGATTATTTAAGTTTGAATTTCAATATACATTTTTAAATTTGTCAATTTCTGTTATAGAGACTGCAGGAATTAAGATTGGAAGTTTGTTAAATCTGTAGAAAAATTAGGGAAGGATAGACTTCTTAACTATACTAAGTCTTCTAATCTATGAATGCTCTGTATTGCTCCATTTAGCTATTTAACTTCTTTCAGAAATATTTAGTTTTTTGCACTGAGGTCTTGCCTGTGATTATTTTCACACATATTTTGTATTTTTAAGGGTGTTGTAGATAAAACTGTTTTCATTTTTGTTTTCTAATTGTATCCGGCTGGCACATTAAAAAAAAAAAAATGCAGTTTTTTGTATATTAACTTTGGATCCTGTGACCTTATTAAATTCACTTATTAATTCTAGTAGTTATATTGTAGATTTCTTAGAGTTTTTATACATAAACAATATGTCCTGCAAAGAGATACATTTATTTTCTTTCCCCCCATGATATTTATGTATTTTATTTCTTTTTCTTGTGTTATTACCATTAGTAGGAGCTCTAATACATAGTGGAATAAAAGTGGTGAGACTAAACAGGCTTATCTTTTTCCTAATCTTAGGGGAAATGTGTTCAAAAGTTTACCATTAAGTAGATATTAACTATAGATTTTTTGAAGGTGTCTATTTCAGTCCTGACCTTCAACCCATATCGAGAATTCACCAGGGGAATAAAGTGACCTATTGTTTTTCCATTTATGCACAATTCTCTCCTCTATAGAGTTTAAGCTTGTTTAGTTTTTATTGTTTCCCCAATAAAAGCATCAGAGGATGCTTCTAAAAACATGATCTTTGTAATTTATTCACCTTTTTCCTAGTTGGCAGCGAGATCCTTGGCTCACCTTAGATTCTGGTTCTACCACATCCTACCCAGAAATAAAAACATCTGCATGTGTTTTAACACCTGCAAAGTATTTTCTGAAACAGTTCATTTAAATAGCCACCTAATGATGGACATGGTTTTTTCTTATATTTTGCTATTATAAATAACGTAGTAACAAATGTCATTTCTGCATGTATGCCTGTAAATGATCTGACTCAAAGTGTAAATACATGTGTCATTTAGAGTAATACAGGAAAACTTTTGAGTGATTTGAGCAGAGGAGTAGTATGATCTGACTTAAATTTTAAAGTGTCACTTTGGCTGCTCTGTTAAAAGCAGGGACATACGAGTAAAAGAAGAAAAATAATTGGAAGGTTATTTCAGTGATTCAAGCTTAAGATCATGGTGGCTTGGACCATGATGACAGCAGTGGAAGTTTGAGAAATGGATGGATATATTCTGAAGGTGGAAGCAACAAAATTTACTGGTGTATTGAATGTGGTGTGTGAAAGAATGAAAAAAGCAAAAGAGTTTGGCTTGAGAAACTAGAAAGTAGATTGCCATCAGATGAAATGGGATGATGGTAAGAAGAATTCACTGGGAGGAAAGGTCAGCTTTAGATATGTAGAAGTTTGGCATTTTGACATTCAAATGGAGATGATGAAAAGGAGAAACATCTGTAACAAAAATAAATTAATTAAAAACAAAAACAAAAACAAATGGAGATGATGAATTAAGCAGTTGGATAAATGAATTTGGAGTTCAGGAAAGAGGTCCAGTTATGCATAGGTTTAATTAATCTCCTTAGCCTGTCTTCTATAGCGGTAATTTCCCTTGCAATTCTTTTCATGTTTATTTCTATTTTCTATTTTGCATTTTTCACATTTCTATATTCTCTTTAGTCTTTTTGTGTGTGGGGTGTATAGTTTCCCTTGTACTTTATGTAATGTTTTCTTTTATTCAGAAATGTGTTTATTATATCTTCCTTTCCTGAGTTCCTTTATTTCCTAATTTTCCTTTTTTTTGTCTGGCTGTTTCTTCCATGGTTTCTTATATTTCTGCTTTGTTTGTTTTCTTTGCAGCTGCAATTATTACATTACTTTTAAAAATTCACAGCAATAATTTTGCATTTCTCATTAGCAAAACATTTTCAGTGGGTTTCTTTATCAGGAAATTCTTTTTCATTTTTTTAAGAATTTTTCTTATAGTGCTGAATTTTTCCCTTTTGTTTAACCGTATTTTAAAGACCGGCTGTGAGCAGAGGTTTTGGTCAGGAGCAGTTGCTTTCCAGGTTTCTCAGCTTAAGTTTTCTATCCTCTCTTGCTACAGTGAGATGCATGCATGATCCGTGGCTCCTCTGCCTTTCAGGACCCAGTCTTCCACACCTGCACTCTCCCTGCCTGTGTCCCATTGCACTGCTACTGAGACACAACTCTGATCTTCCCAAGTGCCTCTTCCCAGAAGATGATGCTTTCCAGAACCCTCGGAATAGCTTCTGTATGATCTTTTGCTACCTCCCTCAGTACCCATGGCCTGCTTGTTTTAGCCCATCTCAGAGTGGTTCCAACTCTGTGTTTTGTTTTCTCCCGTCTCAGAGTGTATATTTTTGAGCTGCCCATGCTGAACCCCTGGCACATTCCTCATCCCCGCCCCCTTCCTGCTATGGCTTCACTGCCAGTGCCGCTGGTTCGCTGCGGGCCACACTCGGACAGTTTGTACATTTTCTTCTCGTGGTTTAGCCGAGTCTGTTTCATGTGCATGTATTTGTTTCGTTCTCCTGGCTTTGTGTGATTATCCGGAAGAAGTAGAAACATTCAGGAAGAAGTTGGCCAATGTCACGATCAAAATTGGAAGTTCATCTTCTTATTTAAAAAAGTTTTTTTCAGGTAGATTTATATTCCAAAGGCATAAACATGTCTAGTTCCCTAACCCCAGGAATAGCTTTAGCCCCACGATTTTCTTTGTATTAGTGTTTATGCTCCTTCCACTTACACACTCCTGGTTGGGTTGAGGTAGTGACAGTGTATTTTTTTTTCTTTTTTATTTATTTATTTATTTTCCTTTATTGATTTTAGAGAGAGAGGAAGGGAGAGGGAGAGACAGATGGAAATAGTGATGAGAGAACATCGATTGGCCACCTCCTTCCCACTGGGGATTTGGCCCACAACCTGGGCATGTGCCCTGACTGGGAATCGAACCAGCGACCTCTTGGTGCACGGGTCCACGCTCAACCACTGAGCCACACCAGCTGGGCATTTTATCTTTTTCATTAATCCTGTTTTATTTTCTTCAAAGTAACTTTTTCAAAAAATAATTTTGTATTTTGAATTTTAATCATCCTATTATGGTAGGTTACATTTTATGTTGGTTAATTAAAAATAATTTTTAGATACCCTGGCACATTCATCTTCTGTGTGGTAGGGGAATGTGTGAGAGGAATGGGAAGCAGGCTCAAAAGTGATACAGTAAAACTTCGATGTAACGGACTAATTTGGGCGAGGGGGTGTCAGTTAAAGCCAAAAGCCCATTACATAATAAAGTAGGTTTCCCGAATGCATAGGTTAAAAAATTGACAACTTAGTTTACCTGTTTTTACTTATGTAGACACATTTGTGTAATTAAAATTAAGTATGTATGAAAAGTTTAATTTCACAGAAAAGTTTTCTGTATGTATTCTTGGAATTTTTAAGTTTATACTGAATAGGTCTGGTAAATGGGTGCATTAACCAATCACTGTGAGTAAACAAATGCACATGGCTGGGGGGTGGCTTAGCACTGTGGAGTTAGAACTTCTGCAGAAAGTCTTGCCACAGGACAGCAGAACCAGTTACC